GTCTGTAACAAATGTCCATGTCAGGCACATGATGTAATGGTGTGCACCAGGGAGCTTATTTGCATTTGTAATACAGACTATAGCTGCCACACAAATTAATGTTTTCTGTGACCTATTAAATATTTTATATATGCAACTCTAACCAAATGGGACTTTATATTACTTCCCTAGGGGATGCAAAAGAAACCTTTACTTTAAATTTAGTTTTTCTTCTGTACACATTAAATTGGGTACATAAAAGAAGTCAAAGCTTAAGAAATCAATAGGGCTGTTTGTTACTTTAGTCCAATATCTGTAATCAAACAAAGTGCTCTCAGTTGGGTTTTGGAGGCTTGTTAGAGGATTAATTAATTTAGATATTTAATGTATTCAGTTAACAGTTTGTTCTATTTTTGAGTATAATAACTAATGACATGTACCTCTTCAAGGTCATTAGTAAATGAAGTAATTACTTACTTTTTAAGGGTGCACATAATGTAGCTTCTTTGCAGAGTAGCCATATAAAAAAAGTGCATCAGATTATTAGATTTGTTTGCCATCTGTAAAAAACATTTGTACTGAAATATGCATATTGCTTAGTAATTCTGTTCACAAATTGACTTATATTAATACATTAATATGTAATATTGTATTATATATTGATACAATACAATACTATGCAAAATGTTTGCAAATTCATATATATTAATGGTATATATTTTAAAATGTGTACATCTTAGTTAAATAAAAAACCAGGCTGATATTGTATACCTATGTGGTTCCTATTTATCTATAACTCATGGAAATATGTGAGAAATTTCTAAACAGATCTGCCTTTGATCTGCAGTACTGCAAGTATATTTGTAAATACACAATATCTTCAGTTTAAAATAAACTTGGATAAATAAACATGTTGAACATCTGTTTTAGATCAAAGGTACAAATCATTCATCTCTATGTTACTAGTAAACATATTAGAGATAAAATCATTTATTTTATTTTTTTTAAAAAAAGAAAGCCCTGAAAACTATAAAAGTAAACAATCACGAAAGTAAACCTAATATGCTAGCTCCTTTCTCATCTGGGAAACTAGAAACAATGTTCAGCAATTCACTAATGTGTTACATATCTCTGTGTTACTTGACCATGATTCTGAAGTATTAGCAATTGATTAACAAGTTAACCACAACTTGTTCTTCAGTACATATCAAATTATATTATATTCTATGCTAGCATATGATTATTTACCATGTATCTTATACTCTTAAATGACGTCAAGTTACAGGAGGTTGTATGCCCCCTTTTTCTTAATTATTAACATTTAATGATAAGAGCATTCAGTTATTATTTTAAGTTGGGGAGATAGATAGATAGATAGATAGATAGATAGATAGATAGATAGATAGATAGATAGATAGATAGATAGATAGATACGTATGTATACAAAATATTGATTATGGAGCCATAGGATAGAAAAATATGACATATTGATATATGCCAGCAAACAAATATTTCTGAAAGGTTTCCAGGACACAAACAATTTATTTCCTGAAAATCAATTCAGGCAAAACCTCAATAGTATTGGATAAATAATAAAAATATCCAGTTAGTTAACAATGAAATGATCTCAATTGTCCCCATTCCCAACTGACATTTTATGTATTTTCAGTGTTTGGAGGAATATAAATGCCATATCCATGTTTGATTTCATAACATTAAATTTTAAAGTTGTTTGTCACTGGTTTCATTGATGGAGTTGAAACATAAAGATAAACCATTTCTACTTTAAAATATTTCTTGCTTTCAGATAGTTTGGTATTGTTCATCAGGTTTCTTTCAGTAGTTCAGTTAATGAAGTTTTAGTGGAACTAATTTCCTATTGTGTTTAAAATGGTTACTACTCTTCTTTTGGTTCTTTTCAGTGAAGTGCACTTAACAAAGCTTCCATGTTTCCAAAAGAAATCAGATGTGATACTCTGAATCTAACCTTCCATGACATCTATCTATTCAATTTAACTTTCTTTTTCTGGCAATATTGCCAAGCAAAATAAAGCCCCCGTTTATGTTTTTCCCCTCTGGTATTCTGGGAAATAAAACTAAAAATGGTGTTTAGAGCTGGCAATTTGTACTACATATAATGTTCCAATTAATTTGGTCATTTTTAAAGAAAATCTTCAAAAATTATGGTTTTACTAAGGCTATTTTCCTAAATATCTTTAATTATAAGTAAAGTGATCTCTCTTCTGCAATTACCTTTTTTTCTTATCAGATTTTTTTTAAGGTTTGAAATACAATTATTCACAATGTCCTCCCTCATTTCTGTTAAGTTGACATTAATAACTCACATTCATTATTGAAGTTTTTTACTCAACACACATTTCTGAAGTCTTATTTCAGAGTGATACTTCAGATGAAGAGTGCCAAGTTCTGTTCTTCTTATTAAGTATCTGCCTCAGGTCTTAAGATCAGAAGTTTTACATTACACTCTGTAACTATTTTGATATGCTTCAGAACTTGCAAAAACAAAGCATCTCTCTGCCTTTTAATAAAGCAGATTTTTTTTTTCAAATTTCTGAATGAGCCTGAAAAAAGATGTGGCTGCTTTAACAAATAGCAGAGTGTGTTGTGTGTATGTGTTCTAAAATGTTTCTTCCAAATTATTTTCAAAGTATTTATTTCTCAGGCATATGTTGAGACTCATAAATGAGACCATTTCTGACTGGGCTGTCTAAAACTTAAGAGAAATCCACAAAGCCCAAATGGAGAACTATGGAATGCCCTTCTTTGGAGATGGTCCTAACTTTTTATTCCTTTCACATTTAGGAAAGGCATCAAGACCATCTTCAGCCAAGTCCTTTGAGGGTAGACCATAGATTTTGTTTTCCTTTTACTCTGAGCTACCTTGACTGCTCAATAGTTAAAAACATATTTGGAATAGTCAGTACTATTTCAATTCTACCCAAATTAAAGGAGTAGAGGGTCATAAAAAGGGAATCAGTACAATATATATCCTAAGATAAGAATCCTCTCAAGCTGATTTTTAAAAACTTGATAAGGGGTCCTTTGTCTTGACAACAGATTAACTAAACATACTTGGATAATCTTTCTCAACTTCATAATCTAATAATCCAGGAAAAACCATGATGCAAACTTGCCTTTTCCAACCCTTTATTAATCTTCCCTTTTCCCATCTTGAGTGCTGGATTCCTGACTTCTTTAGTCAGAAATCAAAAATAGTATCTTAACAGGATTTTTTATGCAAACTTACTTAACACAATGATTAAAATCTATCTTATGTGAAAGGAACAAGAAAAGAGCACAACAGACTAATGGCTTATTTCCAAATTCATAAATCAAGTTCCATTAAGGACAATGAGAAAGCTCATAAAGAATACCAATTATTTTGGGTATTAATCTATCCTAGTAACTGCAATATATCTCCTAACAGTGAATTATATACAGTATTAAACTATTTAATCTTTGCTGCTTAAGTTTTGTTAGTTTAGGTCTAGATCTGACTTTTCCAGAACAAACAACTTTTCAAGAATTGCTTTTTGGGGAATCATCTATATCTATAGTTTGTTTCTAATTCATGTTCATCTTAAAAGTCCTTTAATTCTTTTGCATATTTTTGGTCACTCTGCTGCCACTGGCTGACTGCAGTTCAATTTTTCTCATTACTGAATTTTCACTATTCCCAATTCACTAGTGAAGTGAATTATTTATCTTTGCCAGGCAAAAATTGGCCTTTTTGTTTTATTTATTATTTCCTAGAGAGAAAACTAAAGCAACACGTAAGATTGAGATTTCTTATATACCTTTCTTTACATTTGGAGAAGAAAATCAGTAAAACATGTTGCATTGTCATTTTAAATAAATTTATCCTTCCAGTTACTTCATTGATTCTTTGGAATTTGGATTATGGGCAAACTAAAGAAGGAGAGTGTAAAAGTTGGCTTGAAACTCAACATTAAGAAAACCAAGATCATGGCATCCGGCCCTCTCAATTCTTGGCAAATAGATGGGGAAGAAATGGAGGTAGTGACAGATTTTATCTTCCTGGGCTCCAAGATCACCACAGATGGGGACTGCAGCCAAGAAATTAAAAGACGCTTGCTCCTGGGGAAGAAAGCTATGGCAAATTTAGACAGCATACTAAAAAGCAGAGACATCACCCTGCCAACAAAAGTATATATAGTCAAAGCCATGGTTTCCCAGTTGCAATGTATGGCTGTGAAAGTTGGACCATAAGAAAGGCTGAGCACCAAAGAATTGAGGCCTTTGAACTATGGTGCTGGAGAAGATTGGACTGCAACCCCTGGACTGCAAGGCGATCAAACCGGTCAGTCCTAGAGGAGATCAATCCTGACTTCTCTTTAGAAGGCCAGATCCTGAAGTTAAAACTCAAGTCCAGGAAGGACTCACTGGAGAAGAGCCTAATGCTGGGAAAGATTGAAGGCAATAGAAGAAGGGGACGACAGAGAATGAGGTGGCTGGATGGAGTCACTGAAGCAGTAGGCATGAGTTTAAATGGACTCCAGAAGATGGTAGAGGACAGGAAGGCCTGGAGGAACGTTGTCCATGGGGTCGTGATGGGTCAGACACGACTTCGCAACTAACAACGTTTTGATCATTTTGGAACTATATGTGTCCCTGTGGTTTTTGTCAGTTATGTTTCTAAAAAAATATTTGATTCTGTATAAAAGCTCTGTAACACTGTATCCGTACATCTTTTATGTTTCTTGCCAGAAATCCATTGATTGCATCTTCAATATATGCTTTCTCTACAGACAGAAAATGTTTTAAAACTATGATTATGTTAGGTAGAATGAGACAAAAATAAATATCCCTTTGTGATATCAAGAGTCCAGGGAAAGTTTTTGAGTCAAAAATATTGAAGGTTTGGTATTATCAATTATCCCAACTTGAAGCAGAATTGAGTATCTGTAACTCTTACATTACCAAAACAAGTTAAAGAGAATAAAGAAATAATATTGGCTTACATAATTATATTTTTGCAGGTTAGAGAACTACAGACCCGATTACAGAGTGTTCAGGCAACAGGCCCATCAAGTCCAGGTCGTCTCACTTCTGCAAACCGTCCCATTAATCCTAGCACTGGAGAACTAAGCACCAGCAGCAGTAGTAATGACATTCCCATTGCTAAGGTGAGTCCTAGGACATTACTGCTTACGTTTGATGCTCTGTGATGCTGCTATTCTACATTGATCCTGAACCAACAGGAGAGATGTTTTTCTAAGAAATGTCAGCCTTGTTTGGTCATAACACACATTCTGCTTTATATATGCATTTTAAGATTGAGTTTCTGAATATAGTACCCGAGTGAAATGAGGAGAATCTTAGAAGAGATTGTAAAGGTGTGTAACAGTTATGTGGGCCCCATAAAAACTCATTGATTTTTTTAAATACAATTTAAAAGTACTAATTCAATAAACGTGTTGTCTGAGTTTTTCATTTACTAATACAAATTGAATTCCTAATCTCTTATTCTTTTCTCCAGCCATTGATAAAATAAGTCCCAAATTTGAAAATATTCTGTTTCTTCTTTTTCTTTCAACCTTGTCCATTTCCGCACAATCTAGTATTTTTTAAATTATTTCTTCCTCTGGTGGTATTTCTTCATTTTTTCAAATATTGTGTGAATATGATACTTGCCACTGTTATCATATGCAAAATCAAGTATATACTTTTTTTGTCAAGCTTTTCTGTCATTATACCTACTAAGAAAAGTTCAGATTTAAAATCTACATGTTTTCCCAATATCTTTTCTAGCCAAGTATGTATTTTTGTCCAATATCTCTTTGCTTTAACACGATGTCCATCATACCTGGTAATAGGTACCTTACTTGTGATTACATTTCCAACATCTGTCTGACATATTTTTAAACATTTTTGCTAGTCTTACTAGTGTCAAGTACCATCTGTAAAACATTTTATATAAGTTTTCTTTGAAAGAGGTTGACATTGTCAATTTATAATTTCTTTCCCACAAGTTTTGCCATTTCTCTAAGTCTATATTGTATCCAAAGTTCTTTGCCCATGTTATCATTGTTTCCTTTACTTGTTCATTTTCCATTTTCAAATTCAATAAAAAGTTATACATTTTCTTAATTAGTTTCTCATCAGAGGTTAATAATATCTGATTAGACAAGGTCTGCTCTTTATAAAATCCATACAATTTAACATCTTTATCATATCTCACTTGTATTTGTAAATATGCCTACTATGATAGATCAATAACCTGATTTTCCATCTCTTGTTTAGATTTTAAATTCCCTTCAGAGTTTAGAATATCTTTATATATCCATATTTTCTCAAGACTGACTAAATTTGGATATACAAATACTTCCATTGTTGAAAGCCATCCTGGAATTTTCAAGTATATTTTACATTTGCTTTTTTCCCATGTTAGTAATAATGCATTTCTAATATAGTAGTTTTGAAAATGTTTATGAATTTTATTTTTCCCATACCATAGGAAGGTATGCCAACCAAGTTGTAGGTCACATCCCTCCAAATATGACAACCTTTTATTTCTAAGGGTTATCCATTCTTTTAGTACTGATGCTTGATAATATAAAACCCATTCTGGCAAGCCAAAACCTCATTTTCCTTAGCTTCTTGTAACATTTTCAATTTAATTCTAGCTTTCTTTCCTTGCCAAATAAAATTTAAAATTAGAGAATTTAAGTCCTCGAAGAATTTTTTCTCCAGTTTTATAGGTGTTGTTTGAAATAAAAACAATATTTTTGGTAATATATTCATTTTCACTGTAGCAATTCTTCCTAAGATCAACAGTTGCAAGTTTTTTCAATTTTTCCAAGTCAAGTTTTATTTGATTCAGTAATTTATATAGTTATCTTCTTTTATCATTGAACATCTTGCTGTCAGGCATATTCCCAGTATTTAACCTTTTTGACTATTTGTAATTCTATTTTTCCTGACATTTGGGTTTTTTTTTGTTTATAAGATTTTTAACTATCACTTTAGTTTTCTCTCTGTTAATCTTTAGTCCTGCTATCTCTCCAAACTGTTCTATCTTTTCCAATAATTTAGGAATAATCTCTAAAGATTCCTCTAGGATGAATACCAAGTCATCTGCAAATGCTTGCAATTTATAAGTTTCACCTTGTATTTCTAGTCCTTTAATTTCTGGATCTTGTCTAATATTTCTATTTAAAACTTCCAAAGTTAAAATAACTAACAATGGAGATAATGGACATCCTTGTTTTGTGCCTTTTCTTATATTGAAATTCTCTTTATAATCTCCATTTGTAATCACTTTTGCTGTTTGTTTGTGATATATTGTTTTAATCATATTTGTAAAATTTTGTCCAAAGTCCATTGTTTTTAGTTGTTGAGTCATATATTGCCAGGAAACATTATCAAATGCTTTTTGGGCATCTAGAAATACTAATGCCAATTGTTTCCCTGGATGCATTTCATAATATTCCAATATGTCCAATATAGCTCTTAAATTATTTTTTATTTGTCTTTTTGATAGAAATCCATTTTGATCTGGATGTATAAATTCAGTTAGAAATCTTTTCAGTCTCTCCACTATTATTGAAGTGAAGATTTTATAGTCCACATTAAGTAATGATATTGGTAATTTTTATCAGATGTGAGTCCTCTTTTGGTATCAAAGAAATATTTGCTTCTGTCCATGTGTTTGGGAGTTTAGCCTCCAATAAAAGTTCATTACACACATCTTTCAACGGTGCACTTTATGTATCTTGTAGACATTTGTACAACTTTGCCGGGAACCTATCTGGTCCCAATGTTTTTTCATTTATTTATTTATTTATTTATTTATTTTTGTCTTCTTATAGCTCTGTCAGTTCCATCATTGTTATTTTCTCATTTAACATGGCTTTAAAGTTTTCTGGAATTTTTGGTAAATTATTTTTTTCCATATATTGAATTGTTTTCTCCCATGAAATTTCTTCTATATCATAACAGTTTCTCATAATATTCTTTAATTATCTTTTTATTGCTTCATTTTTAAATTGTAAACAGCCTTTTTCATCTGCTAAGTTGTTTATCAATTTTTTCTCCTTCTGTTTTTTAAATTTGTAAACTAGCCATCTTCCTGGTTTATTTGCATTTTCGAAAAAAAAATTGTTTTGCTCTTTTAATTTGCTATTCCAATTTTTCTGATTCTGTTAAATTTAATTTATGTTTTATTATTTCCATTTGTCTTTTCAATATTTTCTTTTGTGGATTTATTTGTAGTTCTAATTCTAGTTTTTTACATTCTTTCCTTAACAGTATATATTGTTGTCTTTTTTCTTAGTTTTTTTTTTTCGCCATGTGTGTTATAGCTATACCTCTAAAGTATGCTTTGGCTGTATCCCATACATTTTGTAATGTTGTATCTTCTTTTTTATTTTCTTTTTTTAAAAAGCTCCATTTCTTTTGTTGCTAATTCTATAAATTCTTTCTCTTTTAATATGGATTGGTTCAATGTCCATCTTAATTTTTTTTTTATATTCCTTTCCATGTCATTTTTACAGGATTATGGTCTGCCCAAGTGTCTAATTCTATCTCAATCTCCTGCGTATTAGTTCTTAATTCAGGCATCATCCAGACCATGTCAATTCTGGACCATGATTTATGACTATTTGAGTAGAATATATATTGTAGTTTTTCTGGATTGGTTTCTCTCCAAATATCTTGTATGCCAATTTCCTCTATCATATTAAAAAAAATCTTAGATAATCTTTTTCTTCCTTGTTTTCCTGTTTTGCTACTTTTATAGTCTAATGTCCCATATTGCATTAAAATCTCCTACTAGGCAAATGTTTTGATATTCCATTTCTGCTATTTTTCTATGAAGACTTTGATAAAATTCTTCTTGTTTATTTGGTGCATATATTGCTACCAAAAGTACCTGTTTTTGATGTAAAAATATTTCTACCATCACAATTCTTCCTTCTTCATCTAAATAAATCATTTTAGAATCTATTGTCTCTTTAACGTATACAGCTACTCCTCTTTTTTTGTTGTTGTGCTGATGTATAATAAAGTTTCCCAATTTTGGGGTATTCCAAAAGTTTATACTATTTCTTATATATGTGTCTTTTGCAGACAAATTATATCAATATTTAATTTCTGCAATTTTTTAAAGATTCTGTTCCTTTTTGATGAGGAATTTAATCCATTTATATTCACTGAAAAAAATCTGTTTTCCTTCTCCATTTTATTTACTTATATTTAGATCTTGTTGATCTCATAGTCCTCTGCTCTCTTGCTATTTCCTCTTGATCTGGCTTCTCTTTATCTTCTTCTGTTTGTGTAATTGTTTCCTCTGTTGTTTGTTCTGTCTGTTTCTGGCCTTTTCTGTCCTCTTGTTGATGTTATACTCTTTCATCCAGGAACATTCTGTTTCTTTCGTCAAAATCTTCTGCCTTCCAAACTGAATTCAATCGATACCTTGTTTGTTCCAGTTATTAAGATCCCTTCTGGCATTAACCATCTAAAGTTAAACACCTTTTGCAATTAATTTTGTAGTGAAAAAGTGATATTGTTTTCAGGTGTCCCTTATTCTCTTAGGAATCTTCTTCAATGCCACAGTTTCTTTGTTTTTGTATTGTAATGTGTCATCCTTAACTCTTCTCAATATTTCATCTGCTATTGTTTTATTTACAAATCTTACATGAACTTCTCTAGGCAATTTGTGTATTTCGTCTATTTCCATTTATATCTCCCCTCTACCTGTTTTTAGAGCCTCCATCAGTAGATTAATAATCACTTCTGCTACATCTTCTTCCTTATCTTCAGGTATATTCTGAAATCTTAAATAGTGTACAGCTTTCTCCATTTCCAAGGCTGCAGCTTTTCCTTCTAAGCTTTGATTTGCTTGTTCTTGCCTTTCATTTTCTTCCATTAATGCCTCCATTTTTTATCCGTTTCTTCTGATTTATCTTCCATTTTTTGAATTTTTGTTCATTTTTGCCAATCATTTGTTGATGGGCATCAAATTGTGTCTTTATATCAAGCATTTGCACATTCTTGAATTAGCTCTAGTGTGGCTTATATCTCTTTTTGAAAACTATGTGTTTTTTCTCGTTGTAATAGATCCCTGACTTGCTGGGCTAGATGTTCCAGAAGAGGGTGCAAAAGAGGGTTTTTTGTGATTTTAGTGAGATTTGGTACACTCATTTTTCAATTGAGCAGGTTTAGTAAATCCACAAAGAGAAAAGGAAAAAAAAAGCCAACTGCCTTAGGCTATAATCCATCCATGAAACAAGCCAGCTGCTTTAGGCTAATCCAAATGTTCCAATTAGTTTAAAGATGTAAAAAGCCCTCTATTTCCAAATAGTTTCTATTATGGTTATATCCAGGGTCAAAAGATATGATTGTAGAAGGTCTTTTCTAGCATAGAGTCACATAAATTTCTTTTTGTTTACAGCAGCTGTTAATTCAAGGTCAGCAATTTCTCTAATTCTTTTGGTGTTATTGTAGCATCTTCTCTCACCACTAGATGTCCTTATTTACTGCATTGTCTATATCCAGGTTTTAAAAAGTTCTTTTTATAATGCTTTTACACAGAAAATAAATAAATAAATAAAATCCATGTTGTAAAGGTTAGCCAAATTTTCTTTAAATCAGTCCCAGTTTCATTTTTGTACATTCTTTTGTATTCCTTAATTTCGTTCCCCCATTTAAAATTTTTCACCGCTTTTAACTTCCTTCTTCCCAAGTCTTCCTGGGGTCTTTGCTTTGGAAATTTATCCATTTAGGGGATTTTTATTTCTAAGTCCACAGGGAAGAAAAATAAGAAACAATCTCACCCGGATCTCAACACGTTATTGACAATCAGCTGTTTGGCAGTACGCCGTGGCATGCCGCAGTTCTTTGCTTTTTCCCCAGTTGTTTATGACTTGGGCTGCCTGTGCATTTAAAGGCAGCCTTTCTTCCGTCTGTTTGAAGACGGTTCCTTGGTTCGTGAAATCGGGCTAGGAAACCAGAGCCCCAATTTCTTTTGCCTATCTCGTCATAACACCAAACCGGAAGTCATTGTTGTGATTGGTTCCCCATCCTATCTTGATTGTTTCTAGATTGCGGAGAGAGTGAAGCTTTCAAAGACGAGGTCAGAATCCTCAGCATCTGATCGTCCTGTCCTGGGATCAGAAATCAGCAGCATAGGAGTAAGTATAATATTTGCACAAAATACATACTTAGCTACTTTAGTTGACAGTCATGATCAAGATTGTTTGAAGTCACAGAAATAAAAGCAGTTCTCATCTTAAACTAAGTTAGTTCTCTTGGGCTTTAATTTTTTTTAATTTACGTATTCATGTTTTGGGTATTTCTCCTCCAAAGTATGAAAACAAATTTTCTTTTTATTCTTCAAGATAAAGACAGCCATTCTATAAATGTGTATAAAATGTACACAATCATGCATTTGGATTCTGCAGTAAACATCTACAGCCAGGTTTGCATTTCCTGCAGCTGTTTTTAGAGAGGGCAAGCATTCTAATGGAGCAGCTTTAAAATACATACTCAGGGGTTATGTTTTTTATGCAGCTCTGTTAAAAGACGAATATTAGAGAAAATTCAGACAATGTCACTATATGAACTAACTTTGGAATATTGATCATTCCTCTCCTCATCAACATTTCCTTTTCTTCGTATGTTGACAGAATATTTTGAAAATACTTCTTAACAATGTTCAGTTTCCTTAGACTCAGTTGAATAGAGTTGACAAAATTAGTATACAATTTTCATATAATCATCTTATCATTTCTTAAGAGGTGATAGAATTATTGGGAATGCACTTAATTACATAATTAGAGGAGCATGAGAAACGGCTATTTCTTCTGAGGTTATTTTTTCATGTACTTTGTACTTTATGTTTCTTATTCTTTTTTCATTATAGAAGTTGCAGGCTAATCTAGCCGTGATGTGAATATCTAAAGCAGATTCACACTGAAGTTTTGTTAACTTCTTTTGTTCATTGTTTAGCCTGAAGGCAAAAATGAAAAATATAATTTCTAGGAAAACTCTATTATGCTTATATTTCTTCCCTACTTCTTTGTTATTCCAACATGTGTAAATCTGAGCTGAGCAGTGGCTAAGTCCCCAGAACATAAAATTATTTTAATGACTATTCCTGTTATTTATACAAGGGACAAAGCAATATCCAAATAATAGATCCATTCATAAAGTTTTCTCAAAATCTGTGTACAGGTATCCAGTAGTGTGGCAGAACACCTGGCACATTCTCTTCAAGACTGTTCCAATATACAAGAGATTTTCCAAACACTCTACTCACATGGATCTGCTATCTCTGAAAGCAAAATTAGAGAATTTGAAGTAGAAACAGAACGGTTGAACAGGTAAGATGACATTTTTATGTGCAGAGCCACTTTGCAACAGAGTAGATTCCCCTTTTTAACTTTAATCCAAAGTGGGCACTGAAATGAGTGACATGAGAACAGGCCTTCTCCATTTTGAGGCCAAGTTATGGAAAAAAAATTCTGAGTTTTATCTGGCATTTACATCCTTTGTTTTCAAAATTAAGAGATTATAATTTAGGAACACACACATTCATCATTTTTACTACACATTTTCACTTATTGTTTCTCACTGTTAGGAACTTTTAAAAGAACAGCTCATAAATATATTGAGTAATTGGGCCATGAATTTATCTGCATAGGAAAATACATTATGAAATAAAATTGACCCTGTAGGATAACTTTATATGCAAACTCATTATCAGTGCACAAATGTTAGTAGGTTTTATATTTATAAAAAAAAATCTTTACATAAATGTAGAGAGGGAGAGAGCAAGAGTAATCTCTTTCAGTTAATTGATTTATTAACTTCTTCATTTTGACTTTTGTCAATTATGCTTATGTCAACTGAATAGCAATATGGAAATTTATGATAATGAAAAGAGGACAATCCTAATCATTATCTTTCTCTCAACAAGATAATGTAATCACTAGTATTATGTCATAAAGGAATCTGTTAGCCTTTCCATATTGTTCTGTAAGTCATAACAATAGCTGATGTTATCTCCAGAGAAATGTGGTATGAAATCTTTAACAGTGATTTGGGTAAATCAGAGTGAGAGAAATAATAATCAGGAATTGCCAAATCAGACCACCATGTGAGAGGATTACACTCCACAGCCTCATACAAATTCATAAAAGAACACACCAGTGGCTGATACTTTATCCAGTTAAGGGCCTTGATAGGTCCAAGGAAAGCATAGATGGTTTACATCACTTTTCCTCAACTTAAGGGTTGTCTGTAGAAGATGTAGAACTCCTAAGACAGTGTAGGGTGGCAGCAACCTCTACATGAAAACTAAGAGGATTTTCTTTTCCACAGTCGCATCGAGCACTTAAAATCTCAGAATGATTTATTGACAATAACTCTGGAAGAGTGTAAGAGCAATGCTGAAAGGATGAGCATGTTGGTTGGAAAATATGAATCCAATGCCACAGCCCTCAGGCTGGCATTGCAATACAGGTATAACAATGGAGAATATATGAGAAAAAAAAAATAAATGAACTGATACATGTTCTTACATTGTTTGATTTACAGGTAGTACTTGACTTACCATCAAAATTTCCATTGCTAAGCAAGGCAATTGTTAAGTGAGTTTTGCCCCATTTTATGACCTTTTTGCCACAGTGTTAAACAAATCATTGCATTTGTTAAGTGAATTATGGGGTTGTTAAGCTGGCTGGGAATATTACAAATTATGATCACGTGATCCTGGGACAGTGCATCTGTCATAAGTACATGCTACTTGCCAAGCACCTGAATTTTGATCATGTGACTAAGGGGATGCGGCAACGGTTGTAAGTCAAGGACTACTTGTATTATAAAAAGTTTAAGGACTGCACCAAAGCATTGTGTTTTCTCTTTATTTTACTTAATTTCTTGCCTGCTGGCATTACTGTTTCTACTTAGCAAGTGAATTTACAGAGATAACCATAAGTAGGCCATTTTCCATTTCAAGGCCACAGACTCCATTTTCTAGTCCAATCCCCGTCCCAGGGCAGGAATTCTCAGACCATTCCAGACAAATTGCTACTAGCCTTGGTTTGAATACTGTCAGTTTCTATTCCATAGGGCAACTTGCTCCACTGTTTAATAGCTCTCACAGTTGGTAAATTACTCTATTTCAAATTTGTATCTTTGCTTTGATGGATTGTCAGTTCATATGACAATATGGATATTAAAGGAAAGTGATGTATATTTGTATTTATCATTTATTTGGTTCATTTTTATACCTTAAAACTCCAAATTATTTCCACATCAAGGCTTAACAAAGTATCTAAATCTTATTTTTAAGAACAATTTAGCGAAACACATAATGTTATCAACCTGCTAATAAAAGCAATCCATGTTTGTTATTATTCATGATAAAAATCTAAAATATTTTTGGTACTAAAAATGTCTTCAAGGAAGTTCTTTATCAGCTATTCAGGCTATTCCTCATTCAAGCCAAAGCAAGATCTAATAGAAGAAATGCTTCAAGGAAAGAGTTTCTGCTCTTCTAATGCTTATTCACCTAATTCAATTGTCCCATATTTTGCTCTGGAATGCCTGGTATGTTGTAGGACATGTGGAGAGAAAAAACACCTGGCTTGGTTTCATCTAAACTGCTTGGTTCTATTCTAAAAAGTAGGTTTCTGGAACTGGTGTGGTTATGTGTTCTAGAAAAATAATAGGAAAGTTGTTCTATAATTTCATAATACCTAGAGTTAAAGGCTTCTATTCTACAATCAGAATTTTACTTTGAATTTTATTCATGCAGTTCTCCTTATATTATTTATATGAATTATTCAAGCTGTTATTTAGGAACATAGAGACCACCAATGATCACCACCATACTTGCCAGTTTCCCATTCAACAGAGTGGGGATTTAAATAGATTAATTTCCTCCACCAAATACACTGATTCAGTCTTTTTCTCTCCTCAGTGAACAGTGCATTGAAGCCTATGAGCTGTTGCTAGCATTGGCTGAAAGTGAACAGTCTCTCATTCTTGGACAATTCAGAGCTGCAGGTGTTGGGTCTGTTGGTAAGTGTTCACTTTCCTTCTAATAATCCAATTTGTACTTTATTGGCCATCCATCACCCTTACAGACAACATTACAATACCGGTATGTGCTTGTTAGGACAACCAAGTACAGTTATAACAAATGATTCAACTGGAAGCTAAATACAGAATGCAAGAAAAAGTGCTTTGAACACTTGATATAGGATTATTAAATGGAAATCCATAAACAGTCACATCAACAATGAGTGAGAAGGTTAAATATTTTATATGTGTGATTAGTAATTTAAAAATGCTATTTTTCATCCAGTTTGTTTCCCAAAATTAGGCATCTACTGGAGTATTTCAGAGCATGTAAACAACATGTTTAATGATTTAATTCATTACATCAGCATCTCAGCAGTCAACATATTATATAGAAGTTTTTAAAGATCAAATGATCATATGATTTCATTCTTAGAAGGCAAATGAATTTCAATCCTTTGTTTTAGCATATTGGAATTAATTATTCACAGTCACTATGGAGAGTTCCAGTATGAGTCTTTTCTTCTAAATTGAAAACAAGTTTATTTAAAAAACAACATATTTATTTATTTTAAAATCTATTTAGAACAATAGGTTTAAGAAGCCAAAGTTAATTGTATTCTTATTTTATATAAAATGCAAAATACTTTTGACAAAAGCTATTCAAAAGAAATAAATATAACTTTTGTGATTTAAGTAATTAAAAATGTACAAACTGTAACATGTCCAAATTAAAAATATTATTCCTGACTCATAGAAAATCAGAACTGAACAAAAGTTACCTGCTTCTAATCAAGGAGAAAACCAATCTAGAACTAAGGAGAAATTTCCTGACATTTAGAAAAATTAATCAGTTGAAGTCCACAAGTCTTAAGTTGCGGAAGTTTGGAGACCTCTGATCTAGAGCCATGTGGGATGAGAAAGCAGGGGATTAGGGCTCTCCACACTACCAAAAGCACTTATTAGAACTTATTGTCATAATGGGGTCTGTAAAAGCTGTTTCAAAACCTTTCGTCTTTCTTTTCTGTAAGCCTTTCTTAGTGGATTTGGAAGAAAGCTTCAGATTGTTGTCTTGTTGAAACATGCAAACATTCAACTTCAGGTTTTTCATATTCATCTTTGTAATGCAATGATTATATAAAATGTACATTTCACATGAAATAAAAGTGTCTGTCACTATTTCACCAATAAAATCCATGGATATTATTTTATTTTAAATTGTACAGTGAAATCCTTTTAAAACATAGTATAAACTTTTTAATACAAGGAATAAAAATGATTAACCAAAACAGTTCTCAGTAGCAGAATACAAAGTAATAATGATTGGAAGCTGTGAAACTATTTATATGAACAGATATTGTTTTATTTCAGGTAGTACAAAAAAGTTAGGAGAGGCTGGATTAGGTAGGGATCCTTTATGATTCGGTTCTTATAGAGTCCCATTCAATTCACCATGCAGCCTAAGTTTTTCTTCAGATTTCATTGTTCCTACAAAGAAGTCATATGAAGAGCTAGAACAGTTGAAAGACTCACTCGGTGTAGACTCTGCGTGGATAGTTTATACTTTTACCACTGCCTATGTCACCTCTTTCTAAGTCCAATTATTTTTGAAGTCCATTAAGTGCTAATGTCCTCCTGGGAACATAGATATTTGCTTAAAAGCCCATCGATTCACATTAATACTTCTGAACTGCTCCAGTATTATGTTGTTCTGATGATTTGCTTGTGAACAGGGGATCAAACAGGAGATGAAAGCATCACCCAGATGCTTAAAAGAGCCCATGACTGTAGGAAGACAGCTGAGAATGCAGCCAAAGCCCTGTTGATGAAATTGGATGGAAGCTGTGGGGGAGCCTATGCAGTTACTGGCTGTAGTGTACAGCCCTGGGAGAGTCTTTCTTCCAACAGTCATACCAGGTAATTATGGCTCATTGGCACGATTAATCTCCAGTCATTTGGGTTTTTTTGAAGGTTTTAGAGGTTATTTTGGGGTTGTTGTTTTTTTGCATTAGCTAGCCATCCATCCTTCAACAACCTGTTCCAATAATATTGATGTTCTTAATAAATGATTACAGGGTGATCTCAATCTGTTACTGGATTCTGTTCCGATTTGTGGAGATTTATTGTATTTGAAATCTAATCTATTTCATAAAAAATATCCTTTATTTTGGTAATTTCTCTGCTACTTTATTTCTCCATTTCTTCTCACTGAAACTTAAAGTACATATTACTGGTTCAGTGGTATTATATGAAGTCTTCGCAGATCTACAGTGAGTAAGAATCTGATTTCTCCAAGTTATCTGTTAATTCCGTAAGTGAAGTCATTTGATGTAATTCCATTTGATGTTAAAAAATGTAATGCAATATGTCAACTTGACATTTAGAACTGAATGTATATAACTTGTTTGCTAATCCTCTGCACCTAGAGAACATTTTATTGCAATGTGGATTGGTGAGCTTGGATATGTAAGAGGATTTAATCATCATATTTAGCTATTACATCTATGCACCTTCCTTGGGGATGTTTTGGCAACAACCGCAGGTTCCTCTGGATGATCGCTTACTAAAACACAGTACAATTATAGGGGTTGAATTGGGCAACCACAGAACTGTATAAAAGATTGAACCTCACAGATTCTGTGTAATACACAGCGTCCAGTGATACTCCAAATGTTTGGTATAATTCTTTTGTAAACTCTGTGAAGGAAATGGGGGAGCCTTTCTCCTTGGAAAAAACTTTTCATGTCAATGTGAATAATTTCTCCTGCTGCTTGAGACCCCTTCAAACGGGGTTTGTAATTGAAGTGTTGACCTGGGCTTAACTTCGGCATCAAAAATGAGCTGCTGAATGTCAGCTTGCCTAGCACATGACTGGGAACAAATGCTCAGGCAACCACTGGGGACAAGGAGGTTAAAAGCGATAAAAGGGAGCATTTGCAATAAAATGGAAAAAGCAGTACACAGGCTGCTATTACTAGGCGGTGAATAAAATTAATAGCTAGAATTTTAATTTGCAGCCTCCCAGTCAGACTGCCTATTCCTTTGTGAAAAGAGAAATCCATCTCTGGTGGATGAAGAAGTAATAATCGTTTTAAAGACAAACGCTCAGCCTCAAAGCATGTTTCTAAGATGCCAATTGATTGAACTTGGAGATAAAATAAGACACTAGAGCAGGGGTAGGCAACCTTGGCTCTTTTATGACTCGTGGACTTCAACTCCCAAAATTCCTGAGCCAGCATAGCTCATAGATTCTAAGCTGGCTCAGGAATTCTGGGAATTGAAGTCCACGAGTCATAAAAGAGCCAAGGTTGACTACCCCTGCTGTAGACAATAGCATATAAACAGTGAATTTACAGAAAGTTGATGTTAACTTTGTACTGTAGTTGTGTCAGCTTGTATTCACCTCGAGACTCATTGAAATATATAGGCTACTAAGATTTTGCATAAAACTGCATATTTATACCCAAAGGTGCTTTTCAGAAGGCACTGAAAAGACCCTGAAGAAGCTTGAAGAAGCTTCTTGGATGAGAAGTGAAACATATTCAAGGAAAAACAAAAAAAAACCAGTTGCCTTTTGAAAAGCGCCTTTGGGACAACCATGATTTGGATTGCTGAGAATATCCATAGACATGCATATTTACACCTTTCTCAGTTATCAGTGAAGGCAAAGGGAATTTAAGAAAAAATAATAAAGTGACTTGTTAGCTACTGCTCCACAGCATACTTGTTGCTAGAAGAGTTAAGAGGCTTGCTGGTGAAATTTGGAGCATATAAGGGCTACTAAATGAAAAAAATAGGTCAGAGAGATCTATGTACTTTGCCAATACTTTTCAGTAACTTCTAGGATAAGCATGCTTGGAAATCTCTAGAAGACTGGCAAGCTGTTTATTTGATAACTTATTTTAATTATAAAGACAATTGAGTTTAATAGAATGAAAAAAGAGGCCTAAATGTAAAGCCATGATAAGTATGGCTACAGAAACTGTTCATGTGCTATGTCTTTCCTCCTTCTCTTTGTCTAAAATGGATGGAAAAATATTGCAGCCCAGTGCAGAAAATGATTTATTCCCTTGCTGATAACTGAGATCATCCAGCATTCCAGACAGGCAGAGCTAATGGATGACTTAACCCTTACCCATCAGCTGATTACAGGTCCTCAGGAGACAGCATAGTTTCTGCACAAGGTTGTAGAAAATGTGGAATTGTTTCTGTCTCTTTGTAGTGACAGTACAATTATGTTCAACAGTGAATGTTAAGGAATGAATTGAAGAATCACAATTAACCTCTGCAAATCTTTTTTCTTAGATGACTAGAATAGCAAATAATTGAGAAATAACTAGAAATTCTGGAACATATTAACATTTATTTGAAATGTACAAACAGGATCGGATTGGCTATGTGTTCTAATTTGAGACAATATTGCATAAAAATGGACAGCGGGCTTATGTAGTTAAATATAAAGCATTTGCAGTGCTAGTTTCTTTATGGTTTTAAAACACAATCATTTCTAAATCTAAATCTCTTTAGACTTAGACTTAGGTCTATGTTAGCCAACTTCTAGCAATTTTGTTTTGTTTTCAGAAAATTATTTGTATATGTGTTTTATGTTTATATGAAGGAGCACTATAAGTAAATTATTATTAAACTTATTATTGAAAGCCAGTTTGGTCAAATGGTTAAAGCACATGACTAGAAAGCATGAGACTGTGAGTTCAAGTCTTAGCCATGAAAGCCAGATGGATGACTTTGGGCCAGTCTCTCTCTCTCAGCCCAATCCACCTCATAGGATTGTTGTTGTGGGGAAAAAAGGAAGAGGAAGGTATGATGGATACGCTCACTGCCTCGAGTTATTTGTAAAAATAAAGACAGGATACAAATAAAATAATAAATTACAATTATAAAATGTAAAAACCAAGTATTTCTGACTTTAGATCAGTGGTGTCAAACTGGCAGCCTGTGAGCTAGATGCGTCACACACAGGCCATGCCCACCCCAGCTCCACAAAGGTAAAAAACGTTGCAATATGTCACGTGACGCGATTGAGTGTGACACCCGTGCTTTAGGCGATATTGGAGTATAGGCCATACTGATTATAGCATGTAGTTAAAGATGATGAAGTGATAAACTGCTTGGCTTTTCTTTTGCAAATAGTCTATCAAGCCCACTTTTGTGTAAATCTTAAAATAAGATAGATCTTATTCATCAATTAAGTTATTCACTGACTCTTAGCACTGTTTTACTGAAAAAAACAATTTATCAATATCTACAGTACACTGAGACATGTTTTTGTTTATTTCTTTTATTCTTATGCACACAAGAGGACTATTTAGATATATCATTGCTAAATGTGTTTTCCCTTTTTTCCTAAGTACTACTAGTTCAACAGCAAGCAGTTGTGACACAGAGTTCACAAAGGAGGATGAGCAGAGATTGAAGGACTACATTCAACAACTAAAAAATGATAGAGCAGCTATTAAATTAACTATGCTGGAGCTGGAGAGCATCCATATTGACCCCCTCAGTTATGATGTCAAGCCTCGTGGAGACAGCCAAAGACTGGATCTAGAAAACGCTGTACTTATGCAGGAACTCATGGCAATGAAGGTATTTTATTTAATGATGTATCAGGCAAGGCAATCTTGATATCTTGATTTAAAAGTATAGCTGCAATAATTTTACGCAAAATCATTTTATTTTTAAACAACAATTTAACCCAGAACAGTAGTGAACTATAGAACACAAAATAGACATATGTTTTGTACCTACAATTAAGAAGACCATATCTTATTAGATACAGAATAAATACTGCACGTTAGTTATGCGGAATTCTGTTGATCTGACATACTACTTTGATATTGTGCTGTCTCCCCCAACAGGAAGAAATGGCAGAACTGAAAGCACAGCTGTACTTGCTAGAAAAAGAGAAGAAAGCTCTCGAGTTGAAGTTGAGCAGTCGAGAAGCTCAGGAACAAGCATATTTGGTCCACATTGAGCACCTAAAATCAGAAGTAGAAGAGCAAAAAGAACAGAGAATGAGGTCTCTCAGTTCAACTGGTAGCAGCAGCAAAGACAAGTCAAGTAAGGTGAGTTACTGTCATATAGGTAGTCCTCAACTTACAACCATTTCTTAAGTGACTGTTCGAAGTTACAATGGCACTGAAAAAAGGGATTTATGACTAGTTTTCACACTTACGACCATTGCATTTCATGGTCACATGATCAAAATCTGAGCGCTTGGCAACTGGCATGTATTTATAACAGTTGCACTGTCCTGGGGTCATGTGATCACCATTTCTAACCTTCCCAACTGGCTTCCAACAAGCAAAGTCAATGGGAAATCCAGATTTGCTTATTTGCTTTACAATTGTATGATTCACTTAACAACTAAAGTGATTTGATTAACAACTGTAGTATAAAAAGTTCATAAAATGGGGCACAATTCACTTAAAAATTATCTTGCTTAGCAATGGAAATTTTGGGTTCAATTGTGGTTATAAATCGAGGACTGCCTGTATATATTTGCCTAGTAAGAGATTAGGCTTATTCAAAGTTGTTGCAAAGCAATTATCAAATGCTTGAAGTGGGGAGAATTTTTGCCCTTGAAGACTGTAGGTAACGTTGTGTCAATCCTTTTGCTGCAATGGTTGCTGATTCATTATGGAACAATTTAAAGTTGTATCTTTGTTCTTTTAGTGTGGGGAACTACCTATATCCTTATGCAGCTCTATATAGTTTTAAGATCAACATTGCAAGTTTTCTTACCTGCACTTCCAAGATGCATAAAACTGAGTACTAACAATAGGAGCTTTTTTTTTGCTAGTCCCTATTCCGTTATATTCCTTTCCTATTGTATAAATACATAGAGGATTTCGTGCATACTATATTTAAGAGGATTTAAATCAATTTGTGTTGTCTTTTAAGTTTGAATGGCATTTGTGGATAGGTATTTTGAAAGCTGTTTATATCTCTTACTATTTTATTACATATTTTTATTATGTGTTATGCTGTTTTTATTTGGAAAGACTCCTTGAAAGAGGTTAAAATGGAGCCAAGTGACTGATAGTCAGATGATAAAGTTATGTTTTTTGATTACTATAAACTTTAAAATGTGCCTGGATTTATGTAAGGTAATCCTACCTTGTCTTGGTTTAATTTGCAGGAGTGCACAGATGGCACATCAGCATCATTAACACTAACTGAGCTCAAATCTTACAATGAAAGTGAGCTGACTGCAGAATTGGCAAATGCCCTCAGACGGTAAGCGAGATGTGTTCTCCCTCCCTTTCCCGAATAGAAAGGTGCTAATAAATCTACGAGTTTATAGCGGCCTTTAAATTAGTCAGATGTTCTTACTGTTCTGCAATTATGTAGTTTTGAAGTATCCATTTTCTCATTTCATATTCTGAAATGCTCATCTGCATGTCCCTCAGGTTTTCACAATATCTATAAACCAGCAGATTAATTATTGCTGTTAATTCTCACAACGTACATGAAAACTCTAGAGGACAGAGTAGGTGACTATACTAATCAAAAAATCACTAGGGAGACGTGGCAAATTTAGAAATAGCATTCCAGAATTATCTCTGTTAGTTTAGATTCCCTGTAATAAGCTGCCAAGTTTTATATTAACAGTAATTCTAGAAATAACTAAATGAAAAAAGAGAATATCAGCAGTACTTCCTATCTCACAAATCTTGTCAGTTCTTCTAAATTGCCTTCTAATTCTTGCCAGAGTGAAACAATTTAATTATCTTACTATGCTATGCATTATAGTAGGCAATCCAGTCAACCATTTTATTACTCTTAAGAGCATAAAAGGAACTACTTGCCAGCAGTTTGATGCTTTTAACTGTCATACTCATAACTTTGTCTGTTGTAGCTAGAAGAGTAAGAAAATAGTTGCTGATATGCTCATACTAATATTTCTATTCCATGACCTGAGAAGTGAATGGTATAACACGATATACCTATGTAACTCCTGTATTATGACAGCTACATTGTTATTACAGGTAGTCTTTGTTTAGCAATTATCTTATTCAGTGATTGTCTCCTCACAGGAACATCTGGCTGTCAGTTAAGTTTAGGTAGGGAAGGACTGATCCAGATCCTGTCTGGGTATGCAGTCTGGAGGGAGGAGCTTAGAATGGAACAATGGAAGCATTTCAAGTTGCTTACCCAGGTGCCTCTCCCCTAGAGATATTTTGGGGATTTTTTTCTCTGTAGGTTTCATATTTTAACTCAGTTTTTCTTTCGCTGGCTTCTGCTGTCACATCAAATTTGTTCCTATTCTGTTGACGAATGGTCTGAGCCCCTTCTATACTTCCTGTATAACATTGGTTTGGGTTGAAAATAATACAAGAAGTGGCAGGATTAGAAGAGATATCAGCTGGACTCAAAATAGGCTGAGATATTAAGAACTTCAATATGTAGATAACACTACTATTAGCCTTATGGAAATAAAAATAGAAAATAAAATTCTTGGATTAATAAGAAGTCAAAGATAATGACTCCCTAGTACCATGGTCTGCAAGAAGAACCAACCATTTAGGAACCCCTAATATGGGCGGATGATTATTTTTTTTTTTTAAAAAAAAACCTACTATGATTGACAAGGTTGTAGAAAATAGGAGAAGAAGCCAACAGTTAAGATGGATGGAGAAGATCAAAGAAACTACTGGAATATCCCTGGAAGAGCTGAGTCAGGTCTAATTCAGTGGCACTTTGAACCGTCTCTAGTCTATTGTAGTGTCTTTGGTATTTGCAATGAAAGGCCATATAGCTTGTTCAAGAATTAGGGAAGACTGTTAGAAATCTAACTCTTTTTGTGACCAAGACTTGCTTTCCTTGCAAGCAAAGGAAGCATTATAGTTATAGCAATATACGTATCCTAATGTGAAAGATGTTGTATGGATGATCTGTTTCCTTCTTCTGATATTCCGGGTTGCTGCAGTGTATTTGTGCTTATCTAAATAGTATTCTTATGCAGCTTTTCTCATGGGAGGTATTTTGACATTAAATTATAAGATTCTATACCGCCAAACCATCTATACCAAATCACAACATCCGTAAATTTGAGAATAGGTGGTCTGAACAATAATTGATAGTACCGCTTGCCTATCCTAAAATAACAGTATGTACTAATTATTTTGGCATGAGAGTTAAGTATAACATTGTTCCTTGAAAACAAGTAAGCTTTCTTCTGCAGTCATAGATGAGAGATGCAGGATTTGGTGTTTCTTTTTTATACATTGGGCTTTATAAATTCACTAACAGGTCAGGAGCACAGAAAAGCACTTAACTCCACAGGGAAGAGGAATGAGCAAAATATCCTAGAGGGAACAATCATACATAGGCAGAATGGAGAGTAAGATGATCTAAGAGAGAGGAGGGTTTTTTTTTAGGAAGGGAAGAGGGTTATTGTATCATATTTCTAGGATTCTATTAAAAATGCATGAGAGCAAGGAATGGATTTAAAACCTTTGAAACAAATAAGACTAAAGGACCTCTCTATCCATGTTACACCCAGTTGTGCATGAGACAATATGCATCATTTTAAAAAGCTATTCAATACGACAAAGAAGTTAGCAACCAGAAATACAGTACAGTGCTTTTCAATTTTAGATCTCTAGGTCTAGGTGAGATCTCAGAATGCTGAAAAATTCTATTTAACTAGCGTGCTCTTGTGAAAATGTCAGCAGAAAAACTAAAGCAAATGAAATCCTGAATCAAATTTGAAAATATTGTTGCTCTACTTTAGCAATCTCACCCTGCTGCCAGCCATGGTAAAAAGCCTACCATGCATGAAAGGACTTGTGTCAGCTCACCCCAGACCTACCTAGCACCCAGGTGCAAAAGTTCTATTGCAAACTGCCACCCTCAGAAGCTGCTGCTTCTCCTGGTTTCACTTATCTCTGCAAAGAGCCACCACCAACATGTGAGTCCTTCTGCCAAGGCTCACTGCTGCTTTAAAGCAGCTATCTGGTCTTTGCACCATGGAGGCAAGGCAGAAGTAAGTGGTAACTGGGCAGTTGCAGGACATATGGAGAAACTTTGGGGTGTCCACAGCTGAAATTACACTCCTTGCTCTGGTTCCAGGGTGCACCATGGACTCCGCTTTGGGAGTTCCTGCCTGCAAAGCAGCCCCATGGGATGGGTCTGCCCAGGGGGAGGCAGCACAACCACTGCTCAGGGTCCCTGTGGCAGTTTGGCTGAGCTGAGCAGGACTTGAGCAGGACTTGAGCATGAGAGCTTTGTAGGGTTTTGGCTGCAGGACAGATTGCATCTCCCAGAGCAGGCTGGGGTTGGGTTGGGCAGGGAGGAAGGCAAGGACGATGAAGAAGGTCAGCTGGCAGTGGTAGCCGAGTCCTCGGGCTTCTTCATCTGCAGAAATGCTATGCAGGGTTCCAATAAGACAAAGATGGAGGAAAGGGCTATAGGGTGGGGGGAACTCATGGGCTTTTGTTAATATTAGATTGACAATTGGCTACAACAAAAAACTGAAACCAAGAGATGAAACTTAAGACTACCTCACAAATTTCTTTTTTCAACTATAAGCTAATTTTAATAAAAGTATGTTGAGTAGCTTTTAATTCGCCATTGAAAGGAAAGAGGTTACATACTGATGAATACTGATGTCAGCTTATAAGTAGTTCATGTTTAACAGCTGCCTCATACAGTGACTGTGTGCAGTTAATATGGTGATGAAAAAGAAATGACAGCAAACTTCACATTTGCGACCTGCACAGCTCTGTAAAGCAAAGGAAAGTTGAAGTAAAATCATATGCACAGTCATGTTCAGTTAGCAACTGCTTAATGACTGAGTTGCTGGTTCCTGTTATGATTGCTAAACAAGGACTACCTGTGTATACCACTTTTCCATCATAAAAATATTTTTTGTTCCTTTGAGGAATTGAACAGCATATGATTTTTATAACATGAAAACTTTGATTCCACTTGTAAAACATTAACAGGATGACGAGAAGAACTAAATTCTAGCAGAAGCTATAAATTAATAAAAAGTGTAATGAAGTATAAAAAGCATTATGGAGAAAGGTAGGCTTGTCAAAAATTGAAATAATCTGGCCTTCCTTTCCTAAGAAAAATTATATGGTACAAATGAAGAATTTATAACATATAAATTTGAATATATTGTTTTTGGACTGTAGATGGATTCCCAAGAAATATAAAAAGGATGTCATTAATGGAAATGATGTTCCTCATAATTACATACAAATTCCCATTAATATTAGTATTACTTTTTAAATACTTTTCATCATTTTTTTTTAACTGCTGCTTGTCAGAACAAAGCTTGGAAGGGGATCCTGGCCACAATATTTCCAGACAGCTTTAATTTCTGACATTTTGAGGGACTGGTGGCAAAGCTATCTATGACCCCAGAGCAGAGACCCCAACCTTTTGAGCACCAAGGACCGGTTATGTGGGGCATGGTTTCATGTGCTGCCTGCATCCAGCGGATGGGGCTTCATTTGTTTGCCCGGCCTGGTTCCTTGTATGCTGCGGCCTAGTGCCAATCCACAGACCGGGGGGTTGTCGACCCCTGCCCTAGAGAGATTCTGCCCACTGGTGATAATTCCGAGCTCAGTTGGACCTGTTGCAGTTTAGTGCAGTTTCTCTGTTCAGTGTGGGTATAGATAAAGGTAATCTCTCCAGGTATTGATTTTAACAAACAAACTAGTGCAGAGCAGAGCTTTGCATACCGCTTTACTCTGTACTTTTTCTGACCTCTATATGTTCAGCTAGGAGTTATGGAGAAGAGTTATATTTGTGTTGGCTTGAATAGTCCTAAAAGCTCCTGGCATGAGCTGGGTGCTGAATGAAGCAAGGTACCAGATTCCATTGATAGCTGTATTTGGTTTTGATCCAAGCACAGGATCTTTCAGCTGCCTTAGTGAATTCTTGAAAGCGTTATATCTTTTAGTAATATGTGCAAAAGCTACTCCTTAGAAGTAGCTCTCCTGTTATTCTTCCAAATCTGCCATATGTACTAAGCCATGGATTAAACCCTGCCCCTCAGTTAGATTAGATCAGTCTCTGACTCAGATAAGGGTGTTTTTTAGTCTGCCTCATTCTCTCTAATTTCATTAATAGAGATTCGACTCCTTAGCAAACTTGCTTTACAGGTTGATTAGTAATGACAACATTGTTTAAGAGGCATTCCTTTAAAATATATGTTACTCAAGTGAAATTTACTAGAAAAGGCAGCATGCATGGCTTTTGGCATTGTAGACAGTGCCACCAAGAGGCCAGATTAAGGCTAAGTTGTAAATAAAAAGTTAATGGCTAATGTGCAGTTGTAGTGGCTCTTTGAAAGTGATGAGGGTTGATAGATTTTTTTTCAGTATTGCTGCTCTGCTGTCTTGTATCCATTCATTATTACAAATCAAAGTTTTCAAAGAAAAAAGGTAATTACAGTTAGAAACTAATTTGAATGACATCTTTTAATAAGTTTAGGACCAAGCTTTTCCTAGAAATTGGACAGTGTTGTTATTCTTAATGGCAATTTTCACCTTTCACAAGAGGTATTATAAGACAATCTTGAACTATAAGAACGCTCCAAAACGGCAGTATAACTTTCAACTCTGTGCCGGTATTTGTACTGTGCTTGTTGATGATTCAGATACAATGATTAGTGTGTGACAGATGATAGGTAAACTTCTCTGTAAAGCAGTCATATCATTTTTCAGGTTTGTGTGGAAGTCAGACTAAAAATGCAGTTGCTTTAAAGAGGGGCCTGCTTGCCCTCCTGCACTTTCTGAAGTACCTCTTAGACTTAGCTAGAGATAGAAAACTAGGTACGTACTTGTCAAGTCTGACTTGCTTACAGTTTCATAAGAAATGGCTTGGCCATCTTTGAATTGCTGTATAACGGAAGTCATAATATAAGGCATTGAGAGCCAGTGTGATGTACTGGTTAAGATGCAGGATTGGCACTGAGACCAATGCCATCCTTACCCCAGTAGCACACTCATTGCCTTTAGGTAAGTCGTTCTCTCCCAGCCCAACCTGCCTCACAAGGCTGTTGGGGAGAATAGGAAGAGAAGCCAGTATATCCACAATCTTGAGCTTCTGAATAAAAAGGTGAGATACAAATTGAATATATAAATACAAAATATATTTGGACGCACACCCCCTCCTGATATTCAGCAGATGCCTCCCCTCTAGTCTTCTGAAAAGCCTTGTAGATCTGGCTTTTTCCACAAGCTTTGGGGTAGTGTGTGGTCTAAGCTAAGAAAGGTTGTTTGTTGGATGTGAGGGGTTTATTGCTTTTAGAGATGCTGGCTTTTACATGTAGTGTTTATAAGCTGTCCAGGTTGGTGCTACATACATGAGCAGCCATATAAATCTTATTAATTTTGCTAAAATAAGGGTATATTTTTACAGCCAATTTTACTAGATAGTAGAAAATCAATTGTGTTAGTAATTAGCAATAGTATGTAATAGCAGTAGCATCTTCTATACTGAAACAGCTTTGGCGTGACTCATTAGAGTCCTGCTTGTGAATGTCATTTGGACTCCGTATGTGCAGCTCTCCAGCAGTGTGGTACTTGCAACAAATGTTGTTATATAATAGTATTATGAGATCTGTATCGCAGAAAAATGGTCCATGCTGCCATCCCTTTATGCAGCTTCAAACCTGCATAATAAGGTAATAAATTAAATTAATAAGATAACTCTTATTGTCATTTTTTATTGTGGATACACTGGCACAATTAAAAATGAAATTCTGTTGCTTGCTCTCAAAAGTGTACACCTACATAACACACATAGAAACAGGCTATACACAACATATGTATATACCTACATCTTTACATATAAATAGATATAAATATTAATCACTGTCCATCTTGAATACATAGCAGAAGTTAATTAACATATGAACAACACCAGTATTAACTGGGCTTCCATGCTATCAGAGTAATGCAATGTCACTCAGATTGCAGATGATAAATAAGATTTGGTTCAACTTATTTGCCCTGGATACATCATTTGGATTGATGGTACTATGCTTTGTACTTTCCAGGGAAAAGAAACTGAAATCCAGAGTGCAGGAGTTGGTGAATGCCTTGGAAAGACTAACTAAGAGCAGCGAAATTCGGCATCAACAGTCTGCAGAGTTTGTTAATGATTTGAAAAGAGCAAACAGGTAAAGGGTTCCTCCATCAATGGCAACATACTATATACGCTGAGTTAAACTCACATTTTTTTTTGTTATACTTATTGTGAATCACTGTATGGAATATACATGATTGTCAATGCACTGGCAGAATGTTGGGCTTATACGCAGAGCAGAGCTGTGTAGCCAGCTGGAATTGAAAAGTTGTTGTGGGGATCATGCCCAGCATGTCAACTAATCAATAACCATTTAAGATGCTGCCAATCAGAATGGATGTGTAGATATGACTACCTTGACCTTATATTATTGTGTTTCCATAGTAACCTTGTGGCTGCCTATGAGAAAGCAAAGAAGAAGCACCAAAATAAGCTGAAGAAACTGGAATCCCAGATGATGGCAATGGTGGAAAGACATGAGACTCAAGTCAGGATGCTCAAACAAAGAATTGCTTTGCTGGAAGAAGAGAATTCAAGACCCCATACCAATGAAACATCGCTTTAAGAGATATTAGTTTTCTTTAATCAATGTGCCATTACAAAAATGACTCCTTACAAGACTCGAGATAGTAAACACAGTTGTTAATTGATACAAACCAGGCAAAGTTGGAGATCAGTACCTCATAGTGAGATTGCAACTTCAACAATACACAGCCATGGGCAGGAGCCCCCAAACAATGTTTTTGTATAATTGAGCATACTCAGTGCCTGATGGTAAATGTATCAGTTTATCACATTTTCCATGTAATAGTTTTACTGATATTATTACAGATTATCTTATAAATTTCAAATTTGTATGTAAGTATATTCTTCTGCTCTTATTCACTGAACACTCTCTTTGGAGTCTACCATAAACAATGAGGCAGTGCTGGAACACCAGTGCACTCATCGCTTTCATTTGGATAATAGCATTTCTTTTCCCATTTTCTTTTGTCATTCATTCTGCATTCCCACTTACAATGTAAATCAGGTATCTGTAGTCAACCTCTAGGTACACAGCAGATCAAGTATTAGCATACAATTGTCTTTTATGGGGAACAGGAACATTACTCTTGCTTCTTCAAGTGATGGGAAATCACAGTAACTACTGCACGTATATAATTTTTGCAGCGGAGGTGTAAGTTGATAAATAGCTGTTACAACTCAAAGGAAGATGTAGTGGAAATATAATTTTAAATTGGGCTTTTGAAATGTAGACTAAATTAGTTTTACTTTTTTTTGCTTCTCATTAAATAGCAGTAAAAATAGGGGCAGTGGAAGAATTTTATGTCAAACCAACTGGAATAATTTCTCCCACACTATAACTGGTGCCTCTTATCTTTCTGTTTGTAGTACACTTTTTAGAATATGCCCATTGAAAATGACCCAGCATCATCCTATTGCATGATTTGATAAACCTGCAGTTTGCCATCTCAGTCAGTCATGGAATAGAATCCATAGTAATTCTGAGACTAAGCATCTAGTGCAGTATTTCTCAAACGTGGCAATTGTTAAGATGTGTGCACTTCATCTCCCAGAATTCATCAGTTTGGGAAACATTGATCTATTTTCTAAAGACAAGCTATTTCACTGCTGCTATCTATCACAAGTAAGAGGTTGTTCTTAACTTGTAGCAGTTATGCATTTATAAAAGAAATGAAGGAGTATATTGCTGGACAATGTCTAATCCTTTGCATTCCGTATATAAATTACATGAGTGTTGCAAAATATTCTAGAATAGTGTTTGTATGGGGTAAGATTCATAAAATTAACAAGTCAGCTGTTTAGTTCCAAAATAACAATATTCCCCTTTGCTCATTTTACTTTTTAATTTTCTGATTAAAACCAGCATAAAATGTTAAGGAATGTGCCTAATTAAATGAATGTAAATGTGGGAACATTAATTTCCAGTGAGGATCAGTTACGATGCCAATACTGTCCACTTAGCTCAGTAAACCGTATCAATTAGAATTAGAGGAGAATGCAGTATTATGTCCCTTAAATTTTAAAGCCTTTTTAAATTGAAATATCTATTCTATTTTTCTTTTGTAAGTGTAGCAATAATTCTTTTTCCTTTAGTCTGCTGTATAGATGTTGGACATTAATCTTGTAAGGATAATCCTCAATCATGGCAGATGCTTTGCAATGGTGCCTTCCTTTTAGAATGGTTTCTCCTTGCACTGATTCTTGGAAAGACTACAATAAGACCAATAGTCCTACCAATCTCTTCTTAGTCTTTTGAATGTTCATCCACATTTAATCATTGTAGGCAATTTAATACACTTCAAACTGATTTTTTTTATTTCTTTTATAGTGAAGATCAGCACCTAGCCATGTTTTCAAATAAAGCAAGTTAGACAGATCTAACCTGCATTGTTTTATTAGGATTAGAGACATTAAATTATCTCAATTTGGAGTTGTCTGAAATAAGAACTATGTAAGGATTTATTTTCAAAGGTATCTCTGCATTTGAATTTGGTATAGACAGAACATTTCAGATTGCCCTTTCCAAAAGTGGAGTTTAAAAAAATGTGCAACGTCCTATCCTTGTTCCTGTACCATGCAGTCTTCTAAGCAGGAGTATCCAAGCTGATCTGTATGACAGGTTTTGGAAGGAAAGGATAGGAAAGAAAAGCATGCTCTGAAGCTAGTACTGATTAATTCCATCTTTTTCATCCCATGGAGAAAATGGCCTTCTGTTCACTAACGTGATCCTGACAGACTTTGACTGTGACATCATTCACCTGTGATTCTCCCCATCTCCATGTGACACCCAGCGTATTGCTCTACACGTTAATCACATTAGACTTCATTTGGGCCCAGTTTTCTTGCCTTTTTTTCTGCTTGGCATTTTTCAATATAGTACATTTGTTTTATGACAAATGCTATGATTGTTAGGCAAAACTACATCAACTCCATAATCTAAGCAAATCAGATATTTATAAAAAAGATTTTAGTCCATGAAGAATATAGTAAAATGTGAGGGGAATTCACCTGTTTGGTTCCTTTTTTTTCCCCACAAGTTGTAAACCGCAAATAATCTGAAAAAAAGATTATTCATTCTCATTTTAAAATTTCTTATTGCATGATTTAATATTTTTTGTAATAGTGTTTTATCATTGTACTTAGAGTAGCTTGTCTGAATCATTCTGGGTTTGTTTTTGGATTAGCAATGACAATTGTTATTAGAAATTGCTAATTTAAAGAATACCTGCTTCTGGTACATGGAAGTAATTTATTTCATTCACTAACTTTTTTCTTTCATTAGAAATCTTCAGAATTGTACTGTGAACTACATTATACATTCCATATTTTACTTATAATTCTTAACCTATTTTAACATGCCATTAACTGTTTTTCCATAAGGTTTCCCTATGCAGTCTTGTCCGACTCTTAAGGCACAGTGCTCATCTTCCTTTCTTAGTCAAGAGAGGTAGCCTTGACCGAAGACATTTATCTGTGGTCATGTGGCCAGTATGGCTATACACCAAAGGAGCACAGAACGCTATTACCTTCCCACCAAAGTGGTACCTATTAATCTACTCACATTTGCATGCTTTCGAACTGCTAGGTGAGCAGGAGAGCCCTACTTTAGCTTAAACAAATTGGATTCCTTGAATTGATGTAAGGCTTTTCAACCAGCAGAGGATCATGCCAAATGAAAAGAATGCAGCAATCTTGCCATTGTCGTCCTGCAGTTTCCATATTTTCTCAACACAATAAGGGAAACTGCACCTCCTCCAGCATTCCATCAGTGGTATTACTTGAGCAAAAACTTTCAGATGCATCCAGCATCTTGGCTTTGCTAAAGCTGGCAGGCATGCTAGAATAGTTCCACCATAATACGGTTAATATCCATTCTGTCTCTTAAGCAAAAGCTGATTTCGTGACACGTTACAGTTAAAATAGGCTTCTAGAAGCTGGTACATCTGACATATTGTACAAAATATATTCTGTTACTTTTTCAAGGCATGATTTTTACACCAGCTTGAATGTATTGTTATTTACAAAACAGCAAGCACATTTTTAAATTAAATGTCAGTATTGTTTTGTTTATATTAGCAATTTTTGTTGAAAAAACACCATTTTCATTGTTTTTTCTCATTCTAATAAGTTTTTTAGATGCTGTAAAATAGCTATTTGTGTTTATTTGATATAGAATTGTACAAACTAGTTATTTATACAGAGACATTTATAACACTTTTATAAATGTTCTTATATTCTGAATAAAAATTTAATGCTGAGAAGGCATTCAATTTTCTTTCTTAACAGATTAATGTATTTTGCCCTTCTTTGTCAAAAGCCCTGGATATCTGTTTTGGGGAGCGTGAAATGATTCTCAAGCTGAAGCTATTTTATATATAGGAATATTTTACAGCAGGAGTCCCCAACCTCTGGGTCACAGCCCATTCAGAACTAGGCCGCAGAAGTGGTGGGCAAGGTCATGCATGCAAAGCTTCATTTGTGAAAGCAGCATTCATGCATACACATGAAACCATCTCCTCTCTCCCTCCTACCCCACTGCCACCGGTCCAGAAAGGTTGGAGACCGCTGTTTTATAGCACTTGTTTCAATTCCACTTGGAATATTTTCTGTACCACCATTCCCCAACTTTAGCAAATTCTGGCTATTCAGACTTCAGTGCTGGCTCGAGAATTTTGAGGGTTGACGTTTGCACAGCTGGAGGATACTCAACTTAAGACCACCTTGCACTTTACATTTGTTTACATGACAGTTATGACTGAAAATTGTTTAATGGTGTCATACAAGAATCAGGCAAAATTAATGTATTTCTTATATAACAAAACTCACCATTTTAGAAATGTATTTTTAGCCACTAAATATAGGATATGGCATTTTTTTAAAACCCATACTGGATAAAATGCTTGAAAAAATAGTTCCTATTGTATATGTTATTGCATATATGCTATCTGCCTGTTGAGCTGGAAGATATCCTGCAATCAAGAATCCTGGAAAAGGAAAGTCCATGATGTAGGACAGTGATGGCGAACCTTTTAGAGACCGAGTGCCCAAACTGCAACCAAAACCCACTTATGCATCGTCGGATGCCAGGTGGGTGTGGCCCATTGGTTGGGCGTGGCCGCAGTGGTAACGGCAGACTGGGTGGGACTACAAAGTTCAATCAATCAATTCCAACTTTGCAAGATCTTTTTTTTTTCCGAGAGAAGTTGAAATTGATTGATTGATTGATTGAACCTTTTTTTTTGCACACGGCGGCGGAGGCCTAAAGCGAAAAGGTTTTATAAAACCCAGCTGAAGGCCTAGGACTGGGGCAATGGCGCGCGTGCCCACAGAGAGGGCTCTGAGTGCCGCCTCTGGCACCCATGCCATAGGTTCGCCACCACTGATCTAGGAATATTTCTGAGCAAGTTCAACTAAATGTAGCAACATTATAGTTGTTTCTTTTCAAAATACATCTTGGTGAACACACACAACCATACACATTAGATACTTGGCATCTGATTATATTTTAAAGACAAACTTGGTTTATTTTAAAAATATAAATGGAAAACATAGAAGATCCAGAAAGCAATAAAGACACTGGTGACAATGCAGCATAAAGCACCCTAAGCTTATTGAAATTCCCTGTTAAGGGCAAGTTGCTTGAGAAGGATAATTTACAATTTAAATACTGAAATCATTTAATGTATGTTAATGTATGTAAATGTTAGTTGCAGTTCTTATGCAGTGTCAGGTATAAAGTCCAAGCAGCACGCTACAGTCTTGCAGTTCAGAAACATAGTATTTCAAATTATTTGTTATTACAAGTCCCATTCTTATAGTTGTTTCTTTTCAAAATATAAATACCTTGGTGTACGTACAAAATCATACACATTACATACTTGGCATCTGATTATATTTCAAAGATAATCTTGGTTTATTTTAAATATATAAATGGAAAAAAATTCTATCCTCTAACATATGATAGAAGAACTACTCTACTAACCAACTCATTGTTCCTCATTTTGGTCAGGACCAAAGTTTCTTGCTGTTAAAAATAGTAAAATAACATTTTCAAGAACAAATTATTGCAAAAATCTGCACTGTCTATTGCCCCAAATCTTCCTTAGGTCTTTTCAAGCAGTAAAGATATTTGAACCATATATATTAGACCAAGTGTGAAACAATAAAAATTCTCAAATGGATTCTTATTATCTACTATAATTGCATCTTCGGTTGTAATTTTCATTGCCATCTCATCTAAAACAAGCTATTACTATTGCAGTGTCATTCTTTTATACCATGTAACAGTGAATATTAACAATTGCTTTATTTAAAAACAAAGAAAAACACCTTAACATGTTTGAGAGACCACTCACTACAAAGGATTAAGATTGGTCTTTAAGGAATAAACAAACTCTGGTCAAGAAAAACTAATTTGGACATCAAATTTATATTTACACTAATATATGTGCCATTATAGAAAGATTTTTACATTTTCTACAAATAAGCCACAATGAATACTGTATATTCATTTTACGACACTGGACTATTTAACTGATTTACCAATTAAAAAATGATTTTATAACATTTTACAATATGTTGCAAAAAGCTGTTTTTACACAACGTTAAATTAACAAAACTACTTTAGAAAAATTTTAATTCTCTAATATTTCTGATGTTACTTAACCAAATTATAATTACTTTTATCACATCAAAAAGCTTATATGTGTCCAGCTGGATTTTTTATCCACACACACCCCACACATACAAAACTGTGTTAGAAACTTTTGTCACATACAAAATTACTTTAGAAACACCCCTTGGTTTAAAAAAAATTGTTGCCATCTAATATGTGATACTGTTGCCTAAGGAAAATCCAAAATCTCCTTGAATATATACACCAAGTTTGATTGATGAATCCTGATCAATGAAACAAAAGACTGAATATTGATATTAAAAAATGGATGTGTAATTCAAAACCCATAAAAACATAGGTCTTTTCAAGATTCAGGTAAGAAAAATGGGACTTTTTTACATCATTTCTGATAAGCACGCTTGGAGGAACAAGTGAAATGTATACTGAATATAAGCATTGAAGACATTTTGCATCCATCCGTGTTTTCAGCATATAGTAGCAGTTTAAGTCAAATTCCCGCTTCTTGAATAAAATACACGTTTAAATACATTCCAATTTTAGTAATAGGCAGCTTTCCTATAAGGAAGCCTTCACAGTGCACATGATTAGATGTACCTATAAGAATTCAAATGTAAGAAAAGAGAAACAGAACATTTGAACTGAGTGCTTCATGATTAATAGCTACAAAAATACCCATGTTCCACATACTTGATCTAGGATAGGAAAATCAAAATCTACACATCTAACCAGAAAAATCTCACAAAATGTTTGATCTGAAATTTAAAATAGCATCTGAGGCAACACTGCTACCAGGCAGAAAGAATGTCATTGATCTATTTCAGGCAGGCAGCAATGAAAAAAAAAAAAAAACACTGGAAAAGAGGCACTTACACTATCCCCATCACCTCTAGATTTAAAATATCAAAAGCTGCTTTAAGCACATATTTATTAACTCATTCGGCACTCCCTACTTTGTGATAAAAACAAAAAACTGTGTAAAAGGTTATATCAATACATCACTTAACTGTTTGATCATACATTGTATATTTGTCAGCCTTGGAAATAAAACTTTACATTTAAACTGAAACAAACATGCACACAATTGTATAACAAATCTATTAAAATTCTGCTTAAATTTAGCCCATAATCCAGAAAGAAATGAAGAATTGAAGCTGGAATACTTCTTTCAATCTGTTTTCTCTGAATATTTAAAAGCATCCAAAGAAAGATATGAGACTTCATGCCACACAAAATATATATATCCCTAACAGAGTAGACAAAGGTTAAGAACAAATGTAAAGCTTTACTAAGCATACACATAGAAACACTCCCCAGATGATTTAGTCTACATTTTTATAGCAGACTTAACTTGATCTTAAAAGACATAGTTAATTCAATTAAGTAAGGCAGATTAATAATTGCTATGCCCTCTGCTAAACAGCAGTACAGAATCCAACAGTCAAAGAGTAATGTTTTTATGGAGATGAGTTCAGATCCATGCACAGATCATTTATTTTTCATCCTTTAAAATGCCCCATTAGAGAAACAAGAATCAGTTACAGCCAATGAACTGCCTTTTCTTCACTGATACATAGAAACCTAAGAAGACCATATGCCTGCATTTTGGAATATGTGAGTGTAATATTTAAGTTCTCTGCAAGAAAATAAAAATATAATTACTAACTGAAGAGGTAAACAATCTGAAATGTTCACAGTGCAGGGCACCCAGGAACTATTACATTATTTTCCATACTTTAAGACATGATAAAATCAAATTAAGGAATACAGCCATGTGCAATATAATATCTGGTAAAAGTGATAATTATTGCATATGTTGCTATGTTAATTTGCAACCTGTATTAAGGCTAGATTAATAAACCAAAATTAGTCTTTTAGAGTCCCTGGAAAGCCCTCAACAAAGTAGTAGTCAGACACTGGATTTTCTTAAGAAATTATTCTCTGCAAAACAGAAAACGTTTTCTATATTCAAAAGGAAAGAATGTGGGCCCTATAAGTTACTTTACACTTAGGAAAATTAATCTCACATTGCTAGTATAACACGTAAGCACCTCATATTCAAAATACACATAACTGTGCCAAAGTTCCTCTTATTAATGGCATCATATAAAGGAAGCAGCATTAAACAGTAACATTCCTGGAAATCAAGGTACACATCAGAAGAATATTGGCACTAGCAGCCTAAAAATCCAATTTGCAATGATTGAGAAGTTAGCAAATTAGGCACTTTTACTACTAGAAGAGTTTACCTGCATTAAATACTGACCAAAAGGTTATTTTCACAGATGAAGATTAAACAAAAGAATACGGCATCTTCATCACCAGTTTTTCAACTATCTTACTTTTAACAGATAATGCAAATCCAATTAACTTCATGTTATGAAATAAATGCTGGATACAGTAAGCAGGCATATAGCAACCAGGTTAGTCTGTAATTCAATTATTTACAAAATGATCAATAAAGAAAACTGAATTTACTTGGGAATTAATCTGCATCTATTTTGTTATTATGAACAAGAAGTTTATGATAGTTACATGTAAATTTCATTGTACAATTCCTTAACAGAAAACTGTATATTGCAAGAATTTTGCAAGTGAATGGGCTACACTTAACTTTCAAGCCTACTCTAGATAAATTTCAGAAACCTCAGTGAATATTGTGAATCCAAACTGTCATAATAAGGCTAGAGCACTGAGGAAACAAAATTCAGTAGCAGGTTTTATGCAATCTATATTTATAGACATTCCTTCAGTGCACCTTGGGCTAGGACTATAAATTCAGGTTTTATTGCTTGTTGCTATTCGCTCCATGTTTTCACTGATGTAGCACAATGGTTGAGCTACTACTCTGAAATCAAACTCAATTTTAAGACAGACCAAAATACTGGAAGAAAACGATACAAACCTAGTGAACAGTACAAACAAACGTCCTTGTTGTTGTTTGAATGAAGGCATTAGCATAGGGTGGTGGTGCCCTTCTGCCAATAATTCCATTATTGTGGAAACCCTTCTAAGTCAACTGGTGGTGTTTCTATAGGCCAGTGGTTCTCAACCTGTGGGTCGGGACCCCATTTGGGGTCGAACGACCATTTCACGGGGGTCGCCAAACAAGGCTGTCTGCCATTTTTCCCCCTTTTCTTTGGCCACGCCCCTGTCACCCGGTGATGTATAAGTGGTTGGGGGTCACCACAACATGGGGAACTATATTATGGGGTCGCGGCATTAGAAAGGTTGAGAACCACTGCTATAGGCAGTAAATGGCATACAGTCCCAATATATGGTGTTCCAAGGTGGGAAAAGAATCAGCTTTCAATCAAAATGATTCAATGATGCTTTTTCCTGATTCAGGCTATCAGTTCTGCCAATCTGAAGCTGGTATAATTAATTCCCTCTCGTACTATTAGGAGGAGATTTTAAACTCCTAATTAGACTAGAAAACTTCCTTAGACCATCCATGAAACTTCTGTCATAGGCAGCATAACTAATAGGGCTTTGAGATTGGCTAGCGTATGTTTTCCTTAGTTTGGTTGCCACAAAAGCTATAAGCCATGTAATTTCATATAATGTTTTTTTTCTTTTGTACTACTTCCAAAAACTAATTCTAATTCTGCTAGAATTATCTCCTTAAACATACATTTTCATTTTTCAAAGTATCTGTAATTCTGGTTGGAAACAGCTTAGACATTTCACACATGGGGAACAGTAAAAAGTTATATTAGACACATTCCAATATCACCACCATCTTTCCATTGGAGCTGAAACAACACAACTACTGAATAGAAAGTAAGATAAAATATCACACTAGTAATACAATTTTAAAGCATGCCTATATTTTAAAAAAGTTCCAGTACAGTGCAACAATGAAGATGGGGAAATACATTGATCTGAATGATATAAGATCCCAGGCAGAACAATTCTCAGAGCAAAAGGTTGCTTTTCAACATTCTGAATCATACAATACCTGGCTCCTTTGCTCAGTACAGAATATGGTACTCTTCAGAAAATCTGTACGGGTTTTCAGCAGCTGTACTGCAAAATATCACAAAAAAACCAATATGATACATAAGAGTAATTTAAATGTGTAAAAGGTTAACACGGCCAAGGGTAAAATACTCCTCCAAAATCTAGACAGACAACAAATGAATTAAAAATGCCCACTAATGCATAGCTAGGAACTACTAAATGATATACTGGAAAGCATTTTTGCAGGTAAAAGCTAAACTGCATTTAAAGTGCAACACTGTATGGTGCTACTCCCATATTACAATGAGAACAAGACTTTCCAGTCCACCACTAGGTCCCTGCATTGCTTTAAAACCTGAGAAAATGTAAAAGTTGGATTTTAAAAACCCACTCAATCGCTCTGTGCCAGGACTCTAGCCAGCTTGTCCAAACAACCAAGCTTCAGAAGTCAAAATTTTTCATGATTGCATCATGGTCAAACTTGAAGCTCAGAAAAGCACGTGAGGAGAAAGAGAATTTGCAATGGCCGTTGCATGACACCGATTGTCCACGGTCTAGTTGCTGGTCTTCGCTGAGGCAGCACAAATCATACGCTGTTTCTACATTAAAAAGAATAAAAAATTTAGTAGTGAGTTATAAATATGGGTCAAAACAATTTCGTATTAAGAAAACTTCAAATATAGAGTAGCATATTACTTAGACATTCACTAATTTAGAAATTGGATAGTATGGGAGCTATAATCAAATTAGAGATACATAGTTTTATAGGCTAATAAAACTGGGTATGGTAGGAGCAGATTGGAGAAAGCTACACTAGGCAAAGCAGATCTAAGTGAAAATGGCCTTTGTCCCAAGACTGTGTCCTCCTTTAAATCCCGATCTTCCAACTTATCACTTATTATTAATCTTCAGAATAAGCAATGACAACACTATAGGTTTGTGATATCTTTAGTAAGACGGTGATCATTAACATCAAAAGTATACTGTTACAATAGACATGTTCTCATAACGGTAGCTTGCAAAATTGGTAACCTTGCTCTCAAATAAGAGAACACAAGCATCAACTAAAGCAATGTTAAACTTTATAGCTTTCCTTAGAATTTACACTTTGAAAAGCTATACTTTTAAAAAAGAAATTGTAATACTAAAGTACAGTACTCTATTCAGAAACCATTTCACGCTAATAAAACTGGGTACAGTACTGTAATGTACTCTTGAAAACCCTCCCGTATCCTTTTCGCACTCAGCTTTAGCACTATCATAATCACAGTTGTTTAAACTGTTATTTAGTCCTCCTTTAGGAAGTTACTATATGACTATACTGTTCATCAGTGCAGGGATTTAGTTTTCCCTGTTCAGCTGTAATAGGAAACTCTGACTCAAGCACAATACCTTGGGTAAAGCTAAAGATTTTGCAAGGTTGGGCACTGTAAATTATAGAGCACTAATCACAGACATTTAAACTAAGGTACAAAGTTGTCTGCTGATTAACAAGTAATATGTACTGAAATATAAATGCTATATACCTTTATTCTGTATTATCTAAAGTGACATAAACACACATACCTGTTTCAAAATTATCTTGAAGTTTTCTTAAATGCTTCTTTTCACATTTCTAGTTAAGAAGATAATCACATTAAACATTTCTCAGAAAATTCTGAGATTTGTGACCCAACCAAGAAATATAAGCATTTTCATTCATAAACAGAGGATCATTAAATAAATAAAGCATTTGCTTAAATTTAAAACTGGATTATGCGCTTTATTGTCTGTATCTCCGAATTCTCTGTATGAAGCACCTTCTAACGGAGTGCTTTTAAGCAAACAAAACTGAAAATAAAGAGCTAATTTGGTCTAGCGGTTAAGGCACCAGGCTAGAAAGCAGAAGACAGTGAGTTCAAGTCCTGCTTTAGCCACGAAAACCATCTGGGTGACTTTGAGCAAGTCCCTCTCTCAATTAGTACAGGTAATCCTCAATTTACGAATGTAATGGAACTTGCCCATTCCATTCGTAACTCGAGAATTCATGGGAATGAATCTCGTACTTTGAACGAGATCACTCCCTGCTCGTTAACATATGTGCAGCTTGTTAAATGAACATGAGGCATCTCAGGGTGGGGAAGGCCATGGGGGGGGGGCTAGTGATGGAACAGGCCCCCAAGGTCTCTTTGATTCACTAAGATACCTCATCCTCCCCCCTCCTTCCTGTTGCACCAGACTCATTTACCTTGAAAAGATCCGTCTCCTCTCTGCTTCGATTTCTGCCTTTGAAGGAGAGGAGAGGAGATGGAAGCTTTTGGATGCTCGTAATATCGCGTCCTTTTTTGCAGAGAATGGGAGCCTGAACTCTAGCGATGTTTGTGGTGCCTATCTCCTGCTCCTGCCCCCAACTCCTTTCTGCCACTGCCGGAACAATTTTCAGCAGGACGGAGACCTTGGAGAGACTGGAAGCTCCATCTGCATGCAAATGGGCTCTTAGAAACTGAGCGAAATGCTCCATTTCTCAAGTGCCCCACTGGCAACCGCACAGAGCTTCCAGACTCTGTCAGGTCTCTGTTCAGGTAAAAAGAGTTTGAGCGCCTATGGGTCATTTGCTGCATTTTCAAACGCCCCATAGGCGCTGAAACACTTCTTATCTGAATGGAGACCTTGGGGAGACTGGAAGCTCCACGTGGCTGCCAATGCATGCTTAGAAACGGAGCAGAAGGCTCCGTTTCTCAGGAGCCCCATTCCAGGCATACAGAGCTTGCTGTCTCTGTCAGGTCTCCGTTTGGATAAAAAGTGTTTCAGCACCTATGGAGTGCTTCAAAATGCAAGAATTTGCTGCGTTTTGAAGCACTCCAAAGGCACCGAGACACTTTTTATCCGAACGGAAACCTGACAGAGAACGCAAGCTCTATATGCCTGGAATAGGGTGCTAGAGACACAGAGCCCTTCTGCTCCCTTTCTAAGTGCGCATTGGCAGCCATGCGGAGACTTTGGGGAGACTGGAACCTCTGTGCAGCTGCCAATGCACACTTAGAAACGGAGCACATTCCAGGCATACGGAGCTTGCTGTCTCTGTCAGGTCTCCATTTGGATGAAAAGTTTTTCAGCGCCTGTGGAGTGCTTCAAAACCCAAGCCACTGGCAGCGGCAGCCATCTCAGCGGCCATGATCCCCCCTCCCCAGTCAGCCATCCACCCCGCCCGACCTACTCCTTGCCTGACTGGCTGGCTGGCACAAATCCTGACTTCTCTTCTCCTTGTTGACCTCCCCACTCAAGCAGCGTCAGCAGCTGGAATTTCTTGGTTCCGTCCAAGTGGAAGAAAGCGGAGATGCAGCAGCAGGATTGCTCTCAAGAAGACCCGGATGCACTGCTTGCTCGCGTGCGCCTCTGCTCTTTTCCACTAGGATGGAGCCGAGAAACCCAAGCTGCTGGCGGTGGTGTCAGCAGCCACCTGAGCGGCCATGATCTCCTCCCCAACCACCCAGTCACTCTGCCCAACCTACCTGTTGCCTGGCAGGCCGCGTGGCACAAATCCCGACTGCTCTTCTCCTTGTCGTTCTTCCCATTCAAGCGGCTCAGTCCAACTGGAAAAAAGCAGAGGCGCAGCAGGATTGCTCTCAATAAGGCTGGCGCACACAAGTGAGCAGCGCAGGCGGGTCTTCTTGAGAGCAATCCTGCTATTGCGTCTCTGCTTTCTTTGTTTTGGACAGAGCCGAGAAACTCAAGCTGCTGCTGCTGCTTGAGTAGACAGGATGACAAGGAGCAGATCGGTCAAGATTTGTGCCAGCCAGCCGGTCAGACAAAGAGTAGGTCGGGCAGGGTGGTTGGTTGGTTGGGGCTGGGGGATCATGGCTACTCAGGTGATTACTGCCGCCGCTGGCTTGGATACAGGTAGAAGGGGCCTGGCTCTGCAATGTCTCCCTGCTCAGTTGAAGGCTTTGTTTCTGCCCTCAAACTAAGGCTGGTGCACGCAAGTGAACAGCACACCCGGGCAATGGACAGCATTGGTTCTTGCGCCCGGCCAACTCCAATTTCACACTTTGCCCCATAGGCATGCAAACAAAGCAAACAATCCTCCCTCTTTTGTAGAGAATTTGTGTTTGAATTCACATGATATTACAGCACCCAGGAGCTTCCATTGTCGGCGCGAAAAGCATTTCCAAGCCGACTCTCCTCTCCCTCAGAGGGAAAGAAACCGTGGCAGAGAGGAGACAGATTTTGCAAGGTGAATGTATCCGGCGCAGCAGGAAGAGAGGGGGAAGCAGTTGTGGGGAGTGGGGGGGGGATAGGGTGAATGTTGCAGAGCCTCTTCAGTCGTTCGTAAGGGCAAACAAGTGCCGTGGTGCTGCAATATTTGTGATTTTGGGACTTGCTCGTAAATACTAGCGGGCACTTGTCGCATAACTTTGAACAAGTGTTAAGTGAATACTCGTAACTCGGGGATTACCTAAAATTACCCTTTTATTTTTTTGCTATGCCAATTTTCTATGAGCTCCTAAATTTATTTTTAGGTTAGCCATCTGTGTTTTTTATTTATAAGAAAATGAATACTTATTTTTAAATGATTGCCCATCTAGTAATACCTTTTAAACACTTAATTCAAGCAAGCACATTTTCATATGCAGTTCTGTATATTCTTGGAGCTAATAAATGTATCACAAATTTTAGAGAAGTGGATAATCAGATTTATTCACTTGCCTGGAAAACAGGATCTAACAGGTATTCTTCAAAATACTGTTTGAATTGCATTCTCAAGTATCTTTGCTCATTTACTTCTCCCAAATCATAGCCCTAAAGACATTTAATTTGAAGCCTCACAAGTTGCATTGTACTTGTATCTCTTGTAATTAGAAAGCAGCCCTTCCTTTTTAATCTTCCCTTTGCCTCAATCAAACATGAACTTTTCAATTTCCATTAGCTTTTCCTATTTGATTGGGGAGAAAGGGGAGGAGGAGTTATTTTCCAGGTGACAGATAAGTCATGGCAGACCTACCATAAGCCAAGAACATTTAACCAAATATACTACCAAATAACAAAATTATCCGAGGTGGCGCAGCAGTTAGAGTGCAGTACTGCAGGCCACTTTAGCTGACTGTGTTCAGCAGGTCAGCGGTTCAAATCTCACCGGCTCAAGGTTGACTCAGCCTTCCATCCTTCCGGGTAGGTAAAATGAGGACCCAGATTGTTGGGGGCAATGTAAATATATATATATACATTGCTTACTGGTGTACACCACTTAGAGAGTGCTTGCACTTAAAGCGGTATATAAGTCTCATAAATAAATAAATAAATAAATAAATAGTATTTCATGCTGCGGGACTCTTTTCCTAGCTAACCTAAAAATAAATTATTCATTGCCTATATTTTACACCATTTTAAGTAGAAGCTTAACAAGAAAACACCAACAAAACTATCCCAGAAAGACTGCAAGATATTCTCAACACATCTAACATTCTCAGATGATATTAACAGAGTACATTCCCCATTTTTCCTACCAAGCCAGGTTAAAGGTGGGGTGATCCTTAAGAGTAGCAATACCCAAAAGCTACCTGTTGAGGACAAATGCTTTGTCTGCCAACAAACAGAGCTGAATACCCAGGTTTATGTTATGTCACAAGCCATCTCAGCAATCAAAGCCCTGAAAAACATTTCCAGGGCCATTGATGGGACACCCATTAGATAATGTCACCAACACACAGTGCTTGACGCAAAAATTATTCCCAATTCCAGTTCAAAATGCTTTCCCTTTTGCATTTACCTTTGTGCATCTTACCAAAGTTTGATTCTGTTTGGCTGGTTGATTCTGAACTCCATTTGTTCTCTTTTTTTGATTAGGAATATCTTGATACTGCTTTTTGCCATTGCCTCGTGCATTCTAAGCAAGTAATGCAACAACAACAAAAAATGAACCAAAGACAGCATTCAACTGAAAATAATTAGTTTTAAAATACATTTATCTTCATAACAAAATATATCTAATTTACTTTCATTAATTAATTTGATGCAGCCCAATCCTAAATGAGGCTGAGCAACTAACAACACACCAAAACAATATAATAGAGATCAGGAAATAACAGAATCAAACTCAAGACAAAAAAGTAAGATAACAAAGCCCCAAACATCCCATAAAAAGCTGACATCCAATAAAGGGGGCAGCAATCCCTCTAGCCCAAGTATTCTCAGAAGTTCACCAACAAATATGTTCAGTTTATTTAAAAATATCTTTTTCCATTTAAAAGGTAAGTTCAAGAAATTAAAAAAATATGTTTAAAACATATAGGAAGTCAATTCTCACCAAACCTAACCTAGCAACAATTTTAATAGAAAGTCACCTTTAGTTTTAAAGCTTCAGGCATATCCAAATGATTGTTATATGGCTTTTGTTGCTGTAATTGCCTCTGCCTTGTTGATTGGTCTCCCACAGGTGTATCTGTAAACACCTGCTGACTATAATGGAGTTTGGATCTGATTCATTAAAAAAAAACATCTTTTTAGAAAAGTTCAGCAGACAATTATGATCATACAATACAACTATATTAATAAGACTATTCTATCAAATAATCACTTAGCAGCATGATAAATTTCTTTTTAGGACTTTATTGCTTTTTTCCAAAAGAACTGAAAAACAAACAATTGTCAGACTACACTTCTTTACTTCTAGTTGGCACAATCTACTTTTTTGTAATTTCAACTCATTAGTTCTCCAGGATACAGAGAACAAGTTCCTTCTCTCTATGACAACTCTTTAGATCGCTGAAGAGTGCTATTGTACCTTCATCCCAGCCTCAGTTTTCTCTTTTGCAGTCTAAACATAACCAGTTCCTTTAATCCCGTGTTTTCCCCAAAATAAGACCTGATCGTATATATTTTTGCCACCAAAAGAGGCACCAGGTCTTATTTTCAGGGGATGTCTTACCCACTTATCTTAGGACCGCTGCAGCCAGGCCTCCCACGCCCCGACACCTGTAATGCCACTGCCCGAGTTCTTCTGCAGCCAATTGAGGCCGCATGCCACGTGACATACTGTGCTGGTGCCGCTGCAAGTGGCAGGACACCACATGAATCATCATACCGATCGTGCCAATGCTGCCAATCGTGGCAAGAGGCCATGTAGCTCATCACGCCGGTGACACAGTGGTGTGACAGGTGTTAGGGCATGGGAGGCCTGGCTGCAGCGGTCCTAAGGTAAGCGGGTGTGGGACGTGTGAGGCAGTTCCACCCAACCCTCACCACAGCTTGATTTTTTCATATGCGCCTTGCCCCAAAGCTAGGGCTTATTTTGGGGGTAGGGCTTATATTAGGAGCATACGTAAAAATCAAACTAGGGCTTATTTTCAGGATAAGGCTTATTTTCGGAGAAACATGGTCATTCCTCCCAGGCCTTGTCTTTCAGTTCCCTCATCATGCTGACACCTCCTCTGAATTCAATCCAGCCAATATGATACACAGTATGTATTCCAAGTGAGGCCTGACCAAAATAGATTAGAATGAGAAAAATACTTTCCATAATCTGGACTCTTTGCTTCTGTTGGTATGTTTCAAAATGACATTTGTTTTCTTAGCAGCTACATCACATTGCTGGCTCATACTCAATTCATAATCTACTAAAACACACAAACCTTTTCACATGTATTACTGCCAAGTCAAGTATCTTCCAGCTATACTTATGCCTTTCTATTTTTCTTTCCAGATGCCTTTTTCCTTGTTAAATTTCACCCTGTTCTTTTTGGCTCACTGTACATTTCATGTGTTTTTGTATCTCCTCTTTCATTTCAAAAGCTGTAGCTGTTCCTAGCTTTGTATCACCTGTAGGTTGATAATCTTTTTCTCAATGACTCCAACCAGGTAATTAAGAACAATGCTGAACAGAAAGGGCCCAAGACATTGTTCTGAGGCATTCTACTTGATAGTCTATTCTCCAACTGAATATCATTTTTATTAGCCTCCAAGTACGGTCATTCAACCAATTATGAATACATCAAAAGCTGTTTCATGTTGGCCTATTCTACCAGGTCATTATTATTTTACATGCTGTAATATAGTCAGCACATCAGTTAAAAGTAAAGAATATACCTTGACATTGTAAATGTTTAGTTAATTTTTCATTGACATTGGCTTCAGTATTAAAAGATGCTGATAAATAACACAATTAATGCTGAAATTTGTGGAGTTTCATCCACATGGTATATCAATGAAGGCCACTTAGCTATAACTATATTCTGCCATGACACAAATAAATGATATCCTAAAATGTGAACACAATAATTTGGAGATTATTATTACCACAAAAATCTGAATTACCTTTACCTAACATATAGCATGCAGATAAGGATCTCTATAGCTCCATAATACATACAACATAGTCAATTCACAGATGCTCAAATTGGAGAAGTATTTGTCCAAAGATAGGGCAGCATATTCATACTGCAAGTATTTCTTTTTAAATTTCTAGAGAATCTAAATGAAAGCTGCCTTTACTGAGTAACAATATACACTTGATGCTTTAAATGAAGATAATAGATGGTAGATACAGTAGAGATATAGATCGATAAATAGATGGATAGTTACAGTAGAGATAGATAGATGATACATAATGATATAGATAGATGAGATAGATAGATAGATAGATAGATAGATAGATAGATAGATAGATAGATAATGATGATGCTCTAATGTTGTTAGACCAACTCCACAATTTCTCATCGGCATGGTAAATAGCTAGGCTAGTTATTATCAGTATTTGATAAGCATAAGCAATTATGGCAATCTGAAAATGCAACAGGCATCAGGCTTGGGAAAGCTGATAAATGGTATCAGTTAAATGTCATTAACTATTATTATTCATTTCATTTACAGGGGGAAAAACACTTGACTTATATTTAAAAGCAATTAGCAAGTTTTTCAATGAGTTACCTTTGTTTTTCTATATTGGATTTAGGTGGTGTGCTGCTACTGGCGGATGAGAAGCCATTGTCACTATCTGAAGAGTCTCCGTACCGTCGTGAAAGCCAATCTCTTAAGGGTCTGCAAAGAGTTAACATTAGAATACCAATATTCAGGTTTTTGAAGCAGGATTTCAAAATCCCACCCTTAAAATCCTCAATACAGAAATGGAACATAACAGATTTCTTCTTTCATTTTGAACATACCTGATGAAAGGAATGGTCATAAAAAACTTGTTAGGTGCCAAACCTAATTTCGACTTTGGTGTCATGTCATTTCTATGGCAAGGCAATTTATCAATTGAAAACCATTCGATATTCTGAAACACAGAAAAGAGATTTACTTAACATTTTACAGATATGATAGATAGAAATAATAACTCCCACTAACCTTCTAATCAAGAAATAAAGCATATCTTCAGGAAGCTTTTCTGTCGCCAAAAAGTAATTTGAATTCTTTATACTGAATTGAGCAAATATTGTAAATACAGATAGTCTCAGTTAACAACTGGTAATTGGGACTGGCAACTCCATTACTCTTTTTTTTTTTTTTTTTGTAAAAAATTTTATTTTCAACTTTACAATACATAACAATCTTACAAATACTTCAGATAAAAAATAAAACAAATTGATACACGCCACATTCGGTCTTGCCCGCCCATTTCCCCCCAAATCGCATCCCACCTCAAACCAACTTACTTCTTTCCCTCTTTTTCTTCACTCACCCCCCCTCTCCTCCTTCACCTCAACCTTCCTACATACTTCTCACCCTCTTCTCCTCCCTCTTGATGCGGTGGCAACTCCATTACTAAGCAAAGTGGTTATAAAGTGAAAAATCACATGACCACACCAACTTACGACGAAAATTCCATCAGTTCCAATTGCAGTTAGGCAAATCATCATGATTGTTAAACACATAACGTGACTTCAACTGGTGACTTCCTGACAGCTTTCCCATTGACTTTTATTATCAGAAGCCAGCTGTTAAAGATTGCAAATGGCAATCATGTGACCAAGGGACACTGACCATCATAATTGTACAACAGCTGTCAAGCACCTGAATTGCGATCACATGATCACCGGGACATTATGACAGCTGCAACTTTCAGGACTAGTTGTAAGTTTCCCTGTTCAGCACCACTGTAACTTTGAATGGTCACTGAACAAGTGGTATCTGTAATGTAAAAAAAGGCTGCTACAAAATTATTTCAAAACATTTAGAATCTAAGCAGTCTTGTCTCTTCCTGATGTTCTCCTACCTTGTTTGCAAAGCAGAAAGGTGACACTACAACAATTTTTTTCATCTCTAATAAATACAGCTTTATGAAAATAAATGAATAGTCACCTCCAGATTGGACTGCTGAAATGCATTCTAGATGGATCTTGCCCTTGAAGAATATCCAGAAGCTTCAGTTGATGCAGAACGCAGTGGCATGGACATATGCACCCCTAGAACAGCATATTTTACATTTCTGCTGCATAAGCTACACTGGCTGCCAATTTGCTTCCAGGTCCAATTGAAGATGCTGATTTTAACCTTTAAAACCCTTCATGCATGGGACTGGGCTGAGTGACATTTCTCAGTCACATCAGCCCACTTCATTAAATCTGGCAGAGAAGGCATGCTGCAGGTGCAATCAGCCAGGGACTTATATTGTGTGGGTCCCAGGAGAGGGGCCCACCTTACTGAACATGTTTCCCCCCAAAATTAATTAGCTCCATCCATGTTGACACTGTGGAAGTCCCTCAAGGCCTGATAAAGTTATCAGGCTTGGGGCTTCCATGTAACCAGAGACATGGTTTGATGGCTCTATTGCTGAGGTGGCCATTCTTATTCTCTCTCTGCCCAAGGTTTGCATATTCATTTTTATAATATAACAATATAAAATTCTACATTAAAAAATAAGTATCTGTTGTTTTACTCAAAACTGTTGTATGTCACCCAGAATCACTTTGGTGAGATGGATAAACAAATGTGTTTAATAAATAAATAATGCACCAGGTAAACAATTAAAGATTTAGTTCAGTGAATCTTGAAACTGGATGAGGTGGAAGTACCTCTTTATAAGTGGAAATCATCACCAGCATATTCATTGTGGACCACCTAATATATTTTAGGAAGCTCCATGAATACAAAATATTGGTAGTGATATCCTTGTTGATGATAGAGGCAGCTAAATTATATCAGGAATAGATCAGAAATAAGATCTCTTGGTCTACTAGCAGAAGTCCAAATCAGCCCATTTCATTACTCTAGTTTAACATTAGGAGATTTCAGTTCTCTCCCAAAATGTGACAAAAAGTAAAAGTAAATAGCAAAAATAAAGATTAAAAACAATGTTAATCTTTCCTATCTCCTACTCTAATTACGTGGGAGCAGTAAGGCTCTGGAAATAGTTCTCTTTGCATTGCTCTGCTTAAAGAAAGAATTTTACATAAGAAAAAACATCAGACCTGGGTTGTAAAAACTCTTGACTACCACAACTCTTTGCTACCATCTAACCATTATCCAGATTTTTACAGCTTAGTTTGGGCAGATCTAATATAAAGGAAATACCATGAGGGTTTATATCAAAATGCATGATATTCCTCAATAATCTTATAATATCACTAATTTTTAGTATCTGAGCATTCAATTATAGTTGAAAGGTAGATTTACCCGAATCTCTCTTCTTGTTTTAGGATTAAATTTTGTGTCCTTTGGAATGCCTGGGATGATATACAATCGTGCTAGCTGATCATTGATTCTTAATTCAATATAGTCATCTTTATTAATATAATCTTTTATATCAAAACCAGTTTCTTCAAATACCTGAAAAAGGATAAGATCAGAATACAATTTATGCAAATAGCATATTTTATAGCAGACTTTTGCTATAAAAACCTGGCTTAGTTATATTATCTGACTAAAGTTGTAACTCTTTACTACAGTTTTAAAAAAGCAAAAAAAGATATATGCAGAACTACTAAAATTATATAATATAAGGATACTTGGAACAGAAACCAAAAATCAATCATACTGTTATTATTAGTGGATTTTTCAAATAATTAGATTTCCAGTAGCTAAAGGTATCACACCTCTGTTGGAGAAACGTACCTCTAGTTTTGAATGTGCACCTCAAGAATAGTGCAGTGATAATAAGATCATGTAAATGCAGATAGGCCTCGACTTAGACTCACAAGTGAGGCTGGATTTACGGTCGTGTTTCTATGATCATGCAGTAAATTGAGATGCTCACATGACCAGATCTGATTTTACAATTTTTGGGAACAGTCAATAAGCAAATCCAAAGTCATTGATCAACCGTTGCAATCAGAAATGTGAAGCCATTGTTCTGAATGGGGCTTTTTTTGATGGTATTCAGCAAAAAAATGCCAGAAACCAGCAAAAAGCCTTAACAAATTGTGATCATGTGATTACAGGATTCTGCAACTGATCATAAAGGCAAGCCGGCTGTCAAGCACCCAAAACACAATCATGCACGGGAGGGGGGGGAGTGTTGCACAGCATTTTATAATGATCATAAATGTTTTACGGGCCATAAAGCACCAGATCCAGGCTTGTCAAAATTAAACAGCTGGTCATAAGTTGAGGCCTACCTGTAAATAATTAGCAATTCAAATAGCATGTGTTACATGGGTGTACGAATGCACCCATAACTGCCTGAATAGTTATGTGACTGCCTGTATGATCTGCTATTAACCTCAACCCTATGGTTGCAATTTATTGCAACAGTCTAAATATGAAGTGCTTAAGGCATGAGTGACTATGAGAAGGGAATTTCAGTCTAGGCAAGAATGTAATAGGTGCAACCAGACAATTCTGGGCCATAGCTGCTCAGACAGAATTCAAGATCCAAAAGAACCTCCAAATTACATATTAGGTCTCTCTGATGAAGTGCAACCCTGTCCATAACTAAAGATACCAGGAGACCCCAAAATCCATAACCACTCTGCCTTGCCAGGGTTGAGTTTAAGCTTCTAGGCACCAAGAAATGACCTTGATAGCTGGGGGGGGGTTCAAGATATACAACTGAGTATCATTAGCATATGGAGAGATCCTGTGTCAGCAAATGATTTCACCCAGTGATTTTGAACCTTGAGACATTAAATAGGTAAGGCGTCAAAGGGCCGATCTCTTTCTATACCAACACCAACTGGAACTAGTCCAAGAAATAGGAAGAAAAACACCATAATACCATGTCTCCCATTCCTAATCCCTGGAACTGACACAGAATATCATTGATAGATAGTATTAAAGCTGCTAAGAGATTAAGAAGAGGCAAGTTGGTTATACAATCTTTATCAGCATTAACCCTAAAGCCATCCCCATACTATGTCCCAATCTGAAACCTGACTAGAAGACCAGATCATCTGCTTCATTTAGAGCTCTCTAAAGCTACAATCTGACCATAATTTAATAATCTAAGAAAGTGAAGGTTGGAGACTAGATGAAAGCTGTCCAACTGTCAAGTCCAGTGATGGCTTCTGGAGAAGAGAAATACTGTCTCTGATTAAACACCACTGCTCACTCTTATTACTTAACTCTATATTGACTCAATCACATACCATCTCCCAGGAAATTTTAATAAACTAGTAGGAGAGAACTCTAAAAAACTTGGTAAATTTGGAAATTATTTTATCACTTGCAATAATGAAACCTGGAACACAGATAAAGCACAAATAAAGGCCCCAAGATCTATTTAATGTAGAAAAGTATATGTATGTTGCGTGTACAATATACAATATGCATATTCTATCCCTGAGAAAATATACAGTATTTATGTAGTTTGCTAAGGAGTCAACACCAACTTTATATTTAATATTATGTTTGTATTCTAAAAATCTTTTCAATTAAAAATGCTTGGATGTTAGCAGGATGAATTGCCAAGCCTGAGACTGGATTGTAACTTAGCCCCAAGATTGAAGTTTTGCTAGTTGGTCAACTGCATGACAAGAGCGATAAAGACAGTAAGAATATCCTCAGACTATTGAAGACATGCATAAGCAGACATGCTTGCCTTCCAGTGAAGATTTATAAGAGGCAGAGCTGCTAAGAAAGGAGATTGTTGGTTGATTGGTTGGTGTGGTTGTGCTGGACTGTATGTATCAAGAAGCAAGAACTGAAGCTGCTGGAGGAAAGCAGGCACAGTGTTGGAGAAAGAATCCTTGGAAGAAGGGGAAATGTACAGTTGAGGGCCCAATAGAAGCCTGCAGAATCAGTGACATCCGTAAAGCCGATTGGCTGGCAAAAAGAACTGAAAAGGACAGACCAAGAGTCAGTGCAGATAATGGTGGCTAAGATGCTGCTTTCCAAGAGACTCGATAGTTATTTTTCCCTCTTTACTTCCTCCTATTTGCTATAGAAAAGGTAAAAGTAAAAACACCATTTAAGCTGTCAAAAAGAAACAATAATATAAAGCAATTATTAAGTATATAAACAAGGGAGCAGACAGGTGAAGTAGATGAGGAACTGCAATAAACACTATAAATGTCCATATAATAATAATAATATGATGATGATGATGATGATGATGATAAAGTTGGAAGGGACCTTGGAGGTCATTTAGTCCAACCCCCTGCTCAGGCAGGAAACCCTATACCATTTTGGACAAATGGCTGTCCAGTTTCTTCTTAAAAACTTCCAGTGTTGGAGCATTCACCGCTTCTGGAGGCAGGTTGTTCCACTGGTTAACTGTTCTAACTGTCAGGAAGTTTCTCCTTAGTTCTAGGTTGCTTCTCTCCTTGCTTAGTTTCCACCCGTTGCTTCTTGTCCTGCCTTCAGGTGCTTTGGAATGTATGCTGTTATTTATTTATAAAGGCTTCAGTTTGGAGAATGTCTGGATAAGTTTTTATCCCTTTCCCATCCTCTGACAGGAATATGTCAAACAACATAATAAACAGAATCACCTCTCTGGCAGCACAGTCATGTGGAGCCTCTTCTTTATTCACTTTTCCTTTTGGAAAACCCCAGCCAGATTTTGCTAAATAACCCTGAACTAGTAGCACCTGCAAAACATAAATATCCAATCATAATTAAAAGATTATAAGGGAAAAAAATCAACTCATGGTAAATAGACACACAGTTAAATTCACAAGAGTTAGATACTAAAGTCTGAATTAAAGTAAATAAAACGAAATGAAACCAATAACATAGATGCTTCTGTTACAGTGGGGAAATATATGTGGAAGATCTGCTTTTACAGATGGCCTTTAAAAGTCAACAGTTAAATCTGTCAATTCTATTCAACAAAGCTAAAAAGAAAATATCTTACATTTTCAAGGGTCTCATCAAGAATGATTGCACCATAAGTTGGCACTCCCATTTTGTACTCTTTCCATTCATCTAAAACCTTCTGCACATCTTCGCCTTGAGGGAGTAAAAAAGGGCAATGGCTGAAAAGTATAGGGAGTCAAGGAAATTCATTGACTAAATCACATCTCAAAACTTTAAAATCACATTTTCTACTGCTTTTTTCTTCCCTTCCCATGCTGCCTTTAGTAAATAGAGTTCTTTTGCTGTCTCATTTACTGGATAGGATTTAATGTCTAAGATAATTAAAAACAATTTGGGAAATCTGGCCAACTGTGGAGTTACTTGCCCTAGTCATCTGTACAAGTTGCAATTTCCTTTAACTCTTATTTCGTAAGTACGCCCACGGCCCAAATATTTCCAGCTGTATTCTCAAAAGCTCCTTGCATTTATCAGCTTTTATTTACAGTTTACCGAGTTTACTGCAAAAGTAATGTCTGTTCTTTTTCTTTAAAAAAGAACTCTACATGATTTGTTCTCAACCAAACTCTTCCAAATTTCTTTAACAAAGGACCTAATGACCAGATTCTGCTGCCATGGGGGGACACCTTTTTTTAACAGCCTATCCCATTAGGAGCCATTTTACAATCATTTCAACTGCAGTTTCTCTCATTTTGAAATGTATTCCACAGGGTCACAATGTTGGGAAACTGTTCTAATTAACCATAAGAACTTTAAAACTCTCAAGACATTCCTTGCCAATTTTTAAAACCACTGAGACTAAGTTGTAAAAAAAAGCCAGTTTATGTAATCTGATCAAGTTTATGACATGAAAAAGCTGGCAGTAAACAATTTTAGAGTGGGATACTAGGTGAAGTATCATGTGACTCTGATGAACTTTCAATGTCCTTCCCCGTTCTGTCATTAAGCAAGGCACTGCAGGTCATGAAACAAAGGATCTCATGACTATGTAATCCTGGAGACACTGTGATGGTCATAAATGCGAGGACAGGCCATAATGTTACTTTTTCAGTGCTGTTGCTATTTTGAATGGCCACTATACAAGTCAATCGTTAATTGAGATCTACCTTAGTCGCCAATAATTGCTCCAAAGATACTTTAATAATGCTTTTAGATGAAGCTGATTAGATCAATTTCAGTTTTAAGAAAAAAAATTGTTCTGCTGTCTCCTTTGATGACCCATGAAAGCAGAAAATGGTAGAAAAAGTATAATTTGTAAAAAAAAAAAAAAAATCCTATTCCTTTTTAACAAGTATGTTGCAGAATGTAATGAACTTATGGTTACTGCCTACCCTTTTGAAATAGTTCTTAGATATTTTTCTACTTAGTTATATAATAATAATAATAATAATAATAATAATAATAATAATAAAGTTGGAAGAGACCTTGGAGGTCATCTAGTCCAACCCCTGCATATTTACACAAAAACACTGGGTTTTCAAATTCAAAGTAAATGGGATATTCTGCTATGACTGTTTTCATAAAATGCAAATATATTTAATAGCTGGTATTTGAATAAATGTATAAAATAGATAATAAGTCATAAAAGCGAAAAACAGTAAGTTCAAACCAAAAGCAGAGGAACACTCAATGAGCCACCGAACTGGGGAAATGCCTTCCCGAATAAAGCACGCCCCCATTAAGCCTTTTAATCCAGAATGAATTCCTAGACCAGATTTCCCCAACCTTTGTGGCTTTGCAGATTGGCGAGGGGGGAAGAGGGGATGTTTGCTTGCGCAGCGGGCGAGTGCACACACACGCCTGTAGCTCCTTTACAGCTTTGCGGATCGGTGGAGGAGGGGATGGTTTGCTTGTGCGGTGGGCCAGCTCACACACACACATGCATAGCTCCATTTGCATGAGCAGCAGGCACGTGCGCACGCTTGCGCAAATGGGTGCACATGCGTGTACTCGTTCGCTACTTGCATAAGGGGGGATGTGCACATGCACACGCGCACTCACCCGCCACTTCCGCAGCCTGATTGTGAAAAGCTCAAGACCTGGTAGTGAGCCTCGGGCTGAGGGTTGGGGACCCCTGTCCTAGACTCTCAAGTGGCTAAATGCATGGTTAGTTAGTCAGGTGAAATCAGCATAAGGGATCAGATCACAGAAAATAATAGCTTGATGGATTTGTGATATCCTAAAACAGGGGTCTTCAACCCCCGGCCCACTGCCAGGACTTGAGCCTTTCGGAACAAGGCTGCAGAAGTGGTGGGCAAGCACACACGCACATCCTCACTCGGGTTCCCCAACTTCTGCAGCTTTGTGGACCGGCGGGGGGTAGAGGGGATGGTTCTGTATGTGTGGCAGGCACGCTTGCCAGCCTCCCGCACACAGCTGTCCTTTCTTCCCCCCTCCACTGGTCCACAAAGCCAAAAAGGTTGGGGAACTCTGTCCTAAAACATATGTATTGACTATTAGCTTTATTCAAAATTAATATGCAGTTTCTGAACTTTTAAGTTATAAGACTTCATTCATTTCTTTTCTTTCTTACAGCAAGATAACACTGTGCTATATAAAACATTAACTTAACACTTAGCAGGATAACAGGTTTTCAGTAGCTTTGGGATACATACTCATCTCCTTTCCTTTCAAAAGCATTAAACTTCATGCCAAGACTTTAGAGTGTTGATTGTTTAGAAAATAATTTATTTGTTTCAATTTATACTATCTAGAGCAGTGGTACTCAACCTTTCTAATGCCGTGACCCCATAATACAGTTCCCCATGTTGTGGTGACCCCCAACCACTTATACATCACCGGGTGCCAGGGGCATGGCCAAAGAAAAAGGGAAAAAAATGGCGGACAGCCTTGTTTGGCGACCCCCGTGAAATGGTCGTTCGACCCCAAATGGGGTCCCGACCCACATGTTGAGAACCACTGGTCTAGATGTTACATACCTGCAAATATCTTTAATTCTATTTTATAACTATTTCTTTTTTAAATGTTCCATTTGTTTTTATCTTTATCCACTTTCCCTTGCTCTTTTGTAGAAATTGACCATGTAATACTTTTCTTTGCCAGCATTCGGCTCACGTTTTTATGAAATTATTTTGATGTTCATGTTTTGTTTCCTGTACATTAAGTTCCAATTTTTAATTTGCATCAATGTTTGTTCTTGGCTACCTTTGACATAATCAGCCAATGCATGTTTTTCTTCTTTGACTGTTTCTTTGTCTTCATGTAAACACCTGCTTCTATTTCTGCAGTGCACATATATTATTATTGTTTTTTTTTTGTTGTTAAATTTATAAGCTGCATAATTCCCACCTACTCTGGGTGATTTGCATAACGTCCCCAATGCAACCTTTTTCCTATCTATGTTTTAATATCATTTGTATGTTTAATAAAATCACATAGAAAGGATATCAGCTTTAGCAAAATCTCTTATCCCACACTGAGGTAATCCTGGTGTGTTCTGCATGTAGAAATCCAAGTAAAACCAATGGGCAAGCTCAATCTGAAAACAGACTCGAATTGCATTGTCTCGTTCTTCACTTGGAATGTGCAAAATAAAACGACTGTCAAAAGTAAAAAATAAATGTAAGAAATAAGTATTTTGTTATTTTCTATGGTTAATATACAACATAAATGAATCCAATACTTCTATAAAACAAGCCCAAGTTGCAAAATGATTTAAAACTGGGGCAGGAAAATTTGAGGCACCTGAAAACTATAGTAATGCTGGACAAATGGCAGTGGCTAAGACTAAGATCACCAAAACCAAGACTAGTGAAATCTGAAGATTCAATTTCTTTAGGACAATGGTACACAACCTGCAGCTCCACAACTATGTGCAATTCTTTGGTATACCCTCTGAGACTATTCAATCCAGTTTATTGTGACAAAAGAGTAAAATAAAATAACTGTTATTATTATATTTCTTCATCCCTCTTCCACACACCTATATCTAGTTAATTCAAATCAGCAAACATACCTAATACTATTGCCTCTTATTTTCCCCACAAAACAACCCTGTAAGGCAGCGGTTCTCAACCTATGGGTCGCGACCCCATTTGGGGTCGATCGACCATTTTTTGGGGGTCACCAAAGAAGGCGATCCGCCATTTTCTCCCCTCAGGGGGCGGCGCCACGCATGCGCGCCGCGCCGCACAGAACATTTGTGTGACAGGGGTCGCCGTCACACAAACGTTGAGAACCACTGCTGTAAGGTGAGGTGAGGTGAGGTGAGTCTAGAGCAGTGGTTCTCAACCTGTGGGTCGGGATCCCATTTGGGGTCAAACAACCATTTCACGGGGGTCACCAAACAAGGCTGTCCGCCATTTTTTTCCTCTTTTCTTTGGCCACGCCCCTGGCACCCGGTGATGTATAAGTGGTTGGGGGTCACTACAACATGGAGAAATGTATTATGGGGTCACGGCATTAGAAAGGTTGAGAACCACTGGTCTAGAGAGTGTGACTGACTCAAAGTCACCTAGCTGGCATTCATTCATTCAGAAATTTTATATGGCCATCTAACTCACTCACTGTAACTCCAGGCCTTAGCAACAACAATCAAACTAATTAGCTGATGCACTCCATATCACCCTGGGTCGCCAGGCCAATAGCAAACTCATGACTTCAGAGCCACTCACACCTAAGGGAGGCCTAGAGCTTACAGTCTTCTGGTTTCTAGGCCAGCCACCTTAACTTCAATACCACACTGGCTCCTTATTTTAATATATAATTTTAAAAATTAATTTGAAGTTACGCTGCTTTAGAATTTTTCTTTGTCTTGCCCCTCCTACTTATTGGGATGTGGCCCATAGAAGTGTTTTCCATAGGACAAATAATATATTTCTTCTATAAGGATAAGTTGTAACAACATTTTGAATAATTTACTGTAAAAACAAGCTATCTTTGAGCTTAACACTGAAAATGTATAACAGTGGTTCTCAACCTTTTTAATGCCGCGACCCCCAACCGGTCGTAAGTCGAGGACTACTCAACTGGTGCAGCACTGTTTGCAGAATGGAACTTTTGGCAGGCTCAGCAGGGCAGAGACAGCCTGGACAATTCCTATTGGCTTTTGAAAGCCAATAGAATTAGACTCTATTCAAGCCAACAGAATAAAAGGGAGTAGCACAGCTAAGGAAAAGGGGAAAAAATGGCGGACTGCGTTGTTTGGCGACCCCCGTGAAATGGTCGTTCGACCCCAAATGGGGTCCTTACCCACAGGTTGAGAACCACTGATGTATAATATTTAAGACATTAAGATAAGATAACCTTTATTGTCACTTTTATGTGGGCACAATGGCACACATCAAAAATGAAATTTAGTTGCCCGCTCTCAAAGTGAAACATATACATGACACACACCTAAACATACTATGAGCAACATATGTATAGACCCACATCCCTACATATATGTAACAAATAAATATTAAATATTGTCCATCTTGAATATATAACGGAAGGAGGAAGCTTGAGAGTTCGCAAGGTTAATGCTGTATGGAATGAAACTCTGGCTGAATCTGGATGTAACTACATCCATGTAACTATTACTGTAACTACAAAGTGAGGGATATGAATGTAATTATTAAACTATTAGAACAAATTATCTAATTAATATTTTGCATGTTTTATCAATGTGGAAAAATTCATGAGTCTAATAACAACTCAGATCTTGGAAATCTGTAGTCTGCACAATACTGCTCTAAATGAATAAGAAAATTTTAGTTTTCCTCCATTTTCCTAAACCATCCACTATAAACTAAATAGTTTTTTTAAAAGTTATTACCAGTCAGAAGCCATTTTCATTGTAACCAAAAGTTAACTAGACATGTCAAATGGGAGCATTTACTTCTTCCATTTATATGTCACTGAATCTACTAGGGCCACTCAGCATTTTTTAAAATCTTGAAATAGTTCTAAGTGGGCTGGCACCTTTTTTGATTACAGCTTCATTAACTAAATGTCTTTTCTATAATTACACTTTTTCCAAGAAATTATCTCATGGACCCTAAATGTATTTTTAGATTACATACTTGTACCTGAGTAAGACCACCCCAAGAGACATCTCAACTTTTCTCTACCATAAGGCAATTCCTCTTCGAAGATTCTGGTTACCAACTACTGATACTAATTTTAATAAATTTGCAATCCAATCCATCACACTTCTTTAATAATGTTTAACTTTGCCAGAGGCTATTTTACATTTTCCACTCCTGACTTTTAAAGAAATATCCTGTCCAACAAAAGAGCTAATCTTTTGAAATTTGGCTCAGTTTAATTAAATAACGTATTTAATATATATATATATTAGTGAGGGAAGTTAGCCCAGAGAAGGAAATGTTAAAAGGGCAGAAAAATATATTTTTCCTCAAAGGATTTTTTAAAACCAAACCTGGCCCCAAATCTATCTCTCTGCTCCAAGCAAGAGCTAGCCCCATACAAGTGCAGATGTAAAACCATCAGAAAGTTGAAGCCAGAGCAATCAAGAAAGCAAAGAGAAAATCTGCATGCCCCACCCAAACTCTAGGAGTTATTAGCCTCATCACCTGCGAAGCAGGATATGATAATAGGATTAAACCACAGATATCAAGGCCTAGAAAAACACTCAGAAATCGCCTCAAGGTTCATGCCACAGGAATAGGAAACTATTCCAAACAAGGCTAGAGGGGGTATAAAAACCTACTGCCCATGTGCTCAATTCCTCTTTCTTCTCCTCTGCTCTTTCTTGCAAGGACCATCTTTCTGCTTCTTCAATAAACTGTAACCTTCTTCCCAAAGCAGTCGCCATGTTGCTTATTTATCCCCGGCTTGGATGAACCAGGATGAAGACTTATGTCTGACAATTTGGCACCCCAGAATGGGACTCCAAGCTAACCTCTCCAATGGACTGAGACTGGTAAGCCCCATCTTGCCGGCAGCAGACCCCCTTGTGTCTGTGGATGGGTTTCTCAGGTCTTGCCCATGTGGAGCTAGGGTAGTAAAGAGAGTTTTGAGAGTTTGAGCTCAAGGGCTGCTTTGGAAAGAAGGTGAAGGTAAGTAGTACCTCTAAATTTTAAGTTTAAAGCCCAGGGGAACAAAGAAATGTGTGTATTTCTGTTTGTGTGAGTGAGAAGACCTTTTTTTTCCCAATCACAGTTGGATTTTGCTCCTTCTGATCGTTCCTAGCCGCAGAAAGGATCTGTTTAATTGGCAGAATCTGGAAAGCATGGGGGTTTGATCAGAGCACAGAACCTTTTGTTAGGGAAAAGGGAGAGGCTGTGTGAAAATGAAATGGAATGAGTGAATGAAAGAATTGGATTTGGGCAACTAGCTGGTAAGGCCCTGTAAGGAAAGGAAAGCAACGTTAGGAAATTAAGCCTCGGGCTAGGAGCGGCCACTTACCTCTGAAAGCAAACAGAGGTCCTCACGGACATTCGATGTCCGCAAAACAGTGGCATGAAGCCGGCCGGTCGGAGAGTAACCCGTACCTTCTGAGGGGAAACCAGAAGTGTCTCTACAGACCTCTTTTTGCTCTGAAAACGTGACGGATCCCTCAAGGAGCCCACGTACTCTGAGAGGGATCCAGAGTGCTCCCTGAGTCCTTTTGGGACCCACAAAACTGTGGTAGAAGGAAGAAGTCTCACAAGGAGGCTTCCGACGTATAGTGCCCTTTAGCGTTAGAGGAAAATCCCGTTATAGAAGCATGGGAAGTTCCAATTCAAGGGCTGAAATAGGTTCCCCAATTGAGAGCTTGCTTGAAGCCTGGGACAGGAATCAGCTACCCGTCCAGGCCGGTATGAAAAAGAGATAGGTAAAGAAACTATATGAAAAAAAAATAGACTTTGCGTAGGGCTTTGCTGGGAAACTAATTTGGCTAAATAAAGGTACTTTAAGGGAAAATAAGAAATAGTGATTCTCTTTCTTTCTCTCTCTTCTCTATGCAACCACGTGGTATGTTTAAAATGTGTGCCTTCCCTAACTTGAGTTATCTGAAATTTATGGTGGGAATGACTAGGATGTGTAAAACTAAGACTTGTTTCCTTTTCTGTTCTCTTGTCTTTGTGTATATATGTTTGTCAAAGTCTGTGTGTGAGAGGTAAATGTGACTGTTAACTGTTTCAAATCCAAAGAAAAAAGAATTTTAAATTCTGCTAGAAATTCTGCTTAAAATAAGCCACAAAAAGGAAATATCTCACTCTGTTTGTCTGGCCAACAGAGTGAAGAAAAAAATTGTGTTTGTTTGTTTGTTTGTTTTCCTCTTTCTCTCTGTGTACTCGCAAGAACAGCCTTAAGTTAGCAGGAGGGAATGTTTTAAGTTCATCTGCTAGAAAGATTTCACTCTTGCATTTAATAATTTATAATAAAGTTGGAAGGGACCTTGGAGGTCATCTAGTCCTGCTCAGGCAGGAAACCCTATACCAGGGGTAGGCAACCCAAAACACTCAAAGAGCCACTTGGACCTGTTTCCCACCAAAAACAAAACACCGGGAGCCGCAAAACACTTTTGATATCTAAAATGAAGATAACACTGCATATATCCTTTTTTACCTTTATTATAGGTGTGTGTGTGTGTGTGTGTGTGTGTAACACACACACACATACATACATACATATACACACACACACACATTAAAAATAAAAGTAAAAATATGACTCTTGGGAATATCCATACCATTAAAACAATGATCACCAAGAGAATGCTTTAAGAGAATAAAATTACATACACACACAGGTAAAAAAAGGATATATGCAGTGTTATCTTCATTTTAGATGTCAAAAGGGTCTCTCTCTCTCTGTCTGTCTCTCTCCCTCCCTCCCTCCCTATCTGCCCTTGGTCTGCCACTCCTCTTCCCCCACTCTCTTTCTTTCTCTCTCTCTTTCCTCTCTCTCTCTCTTCCCTCTCCCCCCCCCTCCTATCTGCTGCTCACCTGGCAAGCTTCAAGCTGTTGTCCAACAAGCTAGGGGTGGGCAATCTCGTCTCTTTTATGACTCATGGACTTCAACTCCCAGAATTCCTGAGTCAGCCTAGCTGGGCTAGCTAGCTCTCTCCTGCCCTTCCTGCTTCCTGCAGAGACGCAGCAAAGGGAGGAGCTCCGTCCAGAAAGCTTTTCAGCTCCTCGGAGAACACCGTGAGTGCACTCTCTTGTGTATATATACACACACACACACACACACAGAGAGAGAGAGAGAGAGAGAGAGAGAGAGAGAGAGAGAGAAAAGCAGGGAAGCGCAATTGCCTCTCTCTGTCTCTGTCTCTCTCTGCAAAGGCAGAGGAGGCTGGGAGCCACAGGGGAAGGCTCAAAGAGCCGCATGAGGCTCCGGAGCCGCAGGTTGCCGACCTGTGCCCTATACGAACTTTATCAAATGCCTTACTGAAGTCCAAGAAAATTATATCCACAGCATTCCTCTAGTCCACTAATTTTGTAACTGGGTCAAAGAATGCAGTAAGATGTGTCTAGCATGATCTATTTTTGACAAACCCATGTTGGCTTTTAGTAATGACTTTGTTTGCCTCTAGGTGTTCGCGGATTCTTGTTTGATTATCTTTTCCAGAATCTTCCCAGGTATTGAGGTCAGGCTGATAGGTCTGTTGTTTCCTAGATTTATTTTTATTTTTGAAGAGGGGAACTACATCAGCTCTTTTTCAGTCCTCTGGTAGTTCCCTAGTGCTCCAGGGTCTTTGAAAAATATAGTTCAGTGGTTCTGAGATCATATCTGCCAGTTCCTTGAGAACTTTGGGGTGTAATCCATCTGGTCTTGGTGATTTAAACTCTTCTAGGCTGGATAAGTGCTTGCTCACCATTTTCTTGCCTAACTTAACTTGTACTTCTAATCTATTTTTTATGGTACTGTTTTTGATAAGTTGGACTGTTTGCTTTTTTATTATTTTTGACTGTGGTCACAAGCCTTAGTTCATTTTGAGCCTTAGCTTTCTTCACCTCATCTTTGCAGGCTCAGACTATTTGCTAATATTCTGCTGTAGTTATGTGCCCCTCTTTCCACTTTTTATACTGATCCAAATGCATTCAAGACAGTTTCCATCATTGTTGTGCCCTAATTCTGTAGATATGTAGTTATTTCTTATATAGAAACTCTGTCTCCTCTTTTATTTGGTCTGTTTCTTTTAAACAATTGAAATCCCTCTAGCTGAGTGTTCCATTTGTGGGTTTTATCCCACCATGTTTCTATAATGACAACTATATCATATTTGCCCTCATTCTTTATGACTGACACCTATGCGTTAGTCTACTTTGTCTGACACTCACTATTAAAAGTTTGATTTTGCTTGATAGCAAGGTTGATATTCTTGTCCACACACATCTATGTTACTTGCACTGCTAACCCTGTAATTTTTGATTGTCAGGGACAGGGATGTTCTGTATCAATTAACTCACTGTCCCTTGTTTAAATATTCCTCCAATCCTCCTTGTATTTGCCAAGATATTTCCTCTTTGGAGTGAGGAGGGGGTGTCTTGCCTGCTGGAAAATCTGGAAAATCATTCTGCAATATGTTGTAAATGAATTTGTGTTCTAAATGGGTTTTATCTATCTATCCTTTTCCTGAAAAATGTGTGTCTATCTACAAGAGCCTTTTGAAGTTCAAGTCTGCTTGTTTGGGGAAATAATTTTCTTAAGTTACTTTTCTTATCCTATCACTAATTGGTGAAGCTACTATGAAACTTTTCTGAAACAAATAAGCATTTTCCAATCTCTAAAATAATGTGATCTGTTTTAGAATAAATGTTAAAGGCAGATTTTGTTTGCCTGTTTCTTTGACCATTGCAATACTGATGCCTTTTCAAACTGCCTGCAAGCTACCCCCCTTCCAATTCTTTTCTTGCCCTTTGTTCTCCATATCTTTTGTCTGCCTCTCCCAGGAGAATCCACCCAGAAAGGGAGGGGGAGACCTTGTTCTTGTATCTTTCAGCCCTGCAATCCTCCCCCAAACCTTTAGAAGCAGAACACACAGACCCAGATGCTGCTTCCATCCATTTGAGCCATGGAATTGGGTTTTGAATCCAGCCATCCACTAAAAAGCCACCATGCAATCTGAGTGGAACATCTTCCCAAGTCCTACTAGATGCCTATGAGATGCCTACTAGATGCCTATGAGAGCTGCAGAAGGAAGGAGTCCTGGAGCCACTGGTTTATTTATCCAGAATGTTTGTATTGCCTATTTTGTAAAAGTAGCTGCACATACATGCACACACACACACTATTCAGAATCACACTTGAGTCTATCCCCTCCACCTACCTTTAGTAAAGTTCCCCAGGCTGATTTTTGCTCCATTGCACCAAAGCTTTGTGGGACCAACTTCCAACAAATTCCAGGCCCCCTCAGGTGATTTGCAATTCTTATCCCTGACTAAGGAAGCAACAGGAAAGAGATCCCAAACCTCAGCCCTGAATATCTTGCACTGTTGGGCTCAGATTGGGATTCTTAGAGCCTATTATGTGCAATTTAAAGAAAAATTTAATAATCTGGCATATTGACTAACCTCAATTGGACATTACAAACCTGGATGCACTGAACTAAGAGCTAAGGCAGGAAACAACCCTTGAAAATGGGCAGCCAGTGGTCATGTACTAGGGAAAACCATGGCTGTAAAGAATTTTGGGAGGTATGCAAACCTGACTGGAAGCTAAAAGTGACATCCAATATTTGAAAATGATTGGCACAGAATATTGGACACTATAAATTTCTTTTCCACGTAACAAAATTTTTGCCCTTTGACTTTTAGAACTTTATGGGTGCAAGCTCCCCTTTTGGGAGCCACTAAAGGGATTTTTTTCTGCTGCCTCCATTAATGTCTTATTTTTTTGGCTTAACAGTTTAAAAGCTTGCCTACCAAGTCTCCCTGACCAGATCAATTTTAATGTTGTGCCAATAAGTGTGACATTCTCACACTTAAGGCACAAAGCGAGGATTGAGGGAAGTTAACCCAGAGAAGGAAATATTAAAAGGGCAGAAAAATATATTTTTCCTCAAAGGATTTTTTAAAACCAAACCTGGCCCCAAATCTATCTCTCTGCTCCAAGCAAGAGCTAGCCCCATACAAGTGCAGATGTAAAACCATCAGAAAGTTGAAGCCAGAGCAATTAAGAAGACAAAGAGAAAATCTGCATGCCCCACCCAAACTCTAGGAGTCATTAGCCCCATCACCTGCGAAGCAGGATATGATAATAGGATTAAACCACAGATATCAAGGCCTAGAAAAACACTCAGAAATAGCCTCAAGGTTCATGCCACAGGAACAGGAAACTATTCCAAACAAGGCTAGAGGGGGTATAAAAACCTACTGCCCATGTGCTCAATTCCTCTTTCTTCTCCTCTGCTCTTTCTTGCAAGGACCATCTTTCTGCTTCTTCAATAAACTGTAACCTTCTTCCCAAAGCAGTCGCCATGTTGCTTATTTATCCCTGGCTTGGATGAACCAGGATGAAGACTTACGTCTGACATTAGATACACACATATACATACACACAATATATATAACTGTAAATATCCAGAAAGCTAATTACTAAAAGCTTTGTATTCATATAATTAAACGAGCTAAGAACTCTTCCTGACCACTACTTAAATCTAATCAATATTTTTATAATCATTTAAGTCAGAATTGAGCCAAAATACCTGATTTAGCCTCAGGTTTTTATGGTTTTATCCCTCACTTAAGACACATAAGGTTATGGGTACTTCACCTCTATTAGTTCTCTTCCACAATAAATGTTAACCTTTTGATCAGTTTCTTAATTAAAACTGGTTTAGAATGTTCCCCATTTTAAAAGAATTTAAAGAATAAGTTATGAGAAAAAATTAACATTTTTAATAATTTGGAAATTATCGGAAATCTGCCGTGAACTCAACAGAACTGCAAAAATGTTTAAAAGGGGGGCGAAATTAAAAACCAGGATTCATTTTATAGAATTGATCCGTGAACCTTATAGGAGGTTCAGACTGCACAAAGCCACAATATCTGGCTTAACGGGTTGCAGGAATCCAGTCAGTTGCAGATAAACCATGGTTTATAGCTTAACCTTGTGTGGAAATCCAGCCAACTGCAGTTTGTTTAATAATTCACGAATTACGGCTCAGCATAACGGATGGATCTCATCCCAGAGCATGGTCAATACCCAAACACCCCTCCGTCCAAGCACTTTAATTTAAAATTATTTAACTGAAACCGAGGCAACTGTGGAGGTCCCTCGGACCGCTTGCTACCACGCTGAGGAGAAGGCGACGGCGGCAGGCATTTTGGGGGACGAGGAGAAGGACCGCAGGGGCTACTCCAGCTGTTTTTTTTCTGGGCGGAAGCGTTACCTGCACAGGTCGTCCAAGACGCTGCCGGGAATCTCAGGGCGCTTGGTCTCCATGGAGAAAGAGCGTAGCTCATCCCGACGCAACGAGGCCCGATCAGCGCACGACACAGGCCGGAGGGGCAAAACCAAACCGGGCGAAGACAGCAAAGGCGGAGCCTCACCGATTCCATCCTATAGGAAAGAAGGGGTTTCGCAAGAGCCAATCAGACCCGTCGACGTTCGAAGAGGTGGGCTGAAAGGAGATCGAAACCAATCATCGTGACATAACCAAGAAAATAGCTCTCCGCTATTAACGAGCGATCCTGGAGGGAACGCCGTTTATTGCTGCAAACAACTGGGTTGGGAGGAAGCGGCTAAGAAGGAGGACGGAGTGTTTGGGGCGCGATTCCGCGCCTTTTAAGAAAAGATTAAGGATTAAAACCTCTTGCAATTTCTGCCGGGCAGCTCTTCCCTATAGTCTGGCTACTGACTGCGCAAGCAAAGCCAGAAAGCTTCCTAGTTAGCAAGTTAATTCCTGAATACTGTAACTTGTAATTTAAAACAGGGTTCATGAGGTCCCGGCCCTGTTCCATTTTTTTTCTCAAAGTGATCGTGCTATTTGTTTTAGTGATTGTGTTCATATAAGATACCAACTTAATGATATTTGCTGAATCCAGTTTTCTGATTTTACGCAACACACGGAGCCATAAATTAAGAGGGTAGTTTGCGCTACATGCTTGTCTACAACGTGATTGGCGAATTCCTAGTTTGGTGTCTCGTCTGAAACTAGCCAATAGGCATAGCTGATCCAGGCGCTAGTCCGTTATAAGATGAGAAATTGCTGTAGTATAGCTTCCCTGGCTCTTTTTTTTATAAACCATATATGCATTAGGCAATGGAAAATACGTCTTCTGCTGGGATTTTTTTTTTTTTTTAAGTAGCTCCAAAAAGGAATTTTTACCTTTAAGCTACTTTAAGAGGTTAGTTTGAAGTGGGTTATTATAGCACTTAATATCAGTCTGGCCATCTAAAGAAACTTGTTCCACATGTCACTAATTGGATGAGTAATCATGTGGGATTTTCAGAGAAGAACTGTGTAATTGTAAATGTATCACTGAGTTCTGTTGTGTTCAGTGGAAAAAAGATAGGTGCAGATAGATTTGCAATCTAAAATTGAAATTCTAGATGCCTTTACAAGAAAATATGCCCCCATGAACATAGTAGGTGACTCCTACTAATATGCTTATTTGAACCATGGTTTGTTTATTCCTGTTTTTAGAATTTTAGAATATTAAAGAAACAATATATCATTGGGATACATGTTACAATATTTTACAGTGGCACTAGATATTTTCCTTCTTCTGATTACAATATAGTATTACATAGTATTTTATGTAAAACATTGGCCATAAATTATATAGATTTGACTTTTGTTTCAACCTTAACTCTAATCCCTTTGGTATTGTATTTGTTAAATTTTGCTATTTTTTTTTCAAGATTATTGGAGTTTTCTTCTTTTTTCCCCTCATTTTAATGTTTTAATCCTTTTTTTAATGATAAGTTTACTGTTGTTACTGTTTCTGTTTTGATATTGTTTATTGTACTAAAATAAACTAGAAAAAGGATGTATATGCTAATAGTATATAATTACTCAATAAAAAGAGCAAATCTTAAAAGAGAACTAGCTGCTGAACTGTTGCCATCTGTCATGTCTTTGGTATTTATCCTTTAGGAACTGTGACCATGTATGTGTAAACCATCTGTTCATAATTCCATCCCTTATATAAATAGAAATTGCTTTTGTATCTTCACAACATTTAAACATGGTTCAACAATTCTTAAACTGCAATCAACACTGAATTCTCTGCATCTGAGAAAGATACTCTCATTAATTTGAAGTTGTACTTTTGCATAATCCAGTTCAAAAATGGGAAGCCAAGGAAGACAATTTTGTATCAGCCAATCTCTGGTAATACTCCCTGAGGTTTGTGCATATATTATAGATATCAGGACAGGTGTTTTCTAAATATAATTGTGCCATGAAGGCCTCCATGAAATCTTTAAAATTGGGATTCTAGAATCTATGCAGCTTTTGCAGAGATGGGCTTATGAAATAGACGGATTCTGTTCAGATGCTTGTAGTACTAGATAAGGGTGAAAAATGAGGGTGAAAAAATTGGCTTGAAATTCAACATTAACAAAACTAAAATCATGGCATCCAGTCCCATCATCTCCTGGCAAATAGAAGGGGAAGAAACGGAAGCAATGTCAGATATTATTTTCTTTAGCTCCTAGATCAAATCAGATGGCGATTGCAGCCATGAAATTAAAAGACACTTGGGAGGAAAGCTATGGCAAAACCTAGACAGCATATTAAAAAGCAGAGAGATCACCTTGCTGGCAAAGGCCTGTATAGTCAAAGCTATGGTTTTTCCAGTAGTATGTATGACTGAGAGTTTGACCATAAGGAAGGTTGAGCATTGAAAACTTGATACTTTTGAATTGTGGTCCTGGGGAAGATTCTTGAGAGTCCAATGGACTGCAAGGAGTTCAGTCAATCCTAAAGGAAATCAATCCTGACTTTTTTTTGGAAGGATAGATACTGAAGCTGAAGCTTAAATACTTTGGCTACCTAATGAGGAGATTGAAAATGACCCCTGATATTGGGAAAGATTGAAGGCAAAAGGAGAAGAGGACAGTAAAGGATGAGATGGCTAGATAGTGTCATTGACACAATGAACATGAATTTGGGAAACAATGGAGGACAGGAGTGTGGCGTACTATGGTCCACGGGGTCACAAATAGTTGGACATAACTTAGAAATTAAACAGCAGTGAATGTGCCTGCTTCATAGACATTCACAATACCACAGGCTACCAGCCTGACACAGAGTATGCATTCTGACAATAGAAATTCTGGTGTATGACAAAGAATAGAGCACGGATAAAAAGAGACTGGAACTTTTAAAATTGGATAGAGTGTTCTGGCAGAAATTGCTAACCTGGAATGAAAAAGAATTAGGTTTAAGAACACATTCCAAGCCTCTGATTAAAGTTAGAATCTCTAGGAAGCCAGAACAGTCTAGATCAGTGGTTCTCAACCTTTTTAATGCCACGACCCCAACCGGTCGTAAGTCGAGGACTACTCAACCGGTTGTAAGTCGAGGACTACTCAACTGGTGCAGCACCATTTGCAGAATGGGACTTTTGGCAGGCTCAGCAGGGCAGAGACAGCCTGGACAATTCCTATTGGCTTTTGAAAGCCAATAGAATTAGACTCTATTCAAGAGAGTCTATTCTATTGGCTTTCAAAAGCCAATAGAATAAAAGGGAGTAGCACAGCTAAGGAAAAGGGGGAAAAAATGGCGGACTGCGTTGTTTGGCGACCCCCGTGAAATGGTCGTTCGACCCCAAATGGGGTCCCGACCCACAGGTTGAGAACCACTGGTCTAGATAATGGAAGCAGAGGGAATAGAGTCCTCCATGTAAGAATAGGTAAGATTTTCAGGCAAGAAATTTTAACAGTAACAATATAACAGATTAAGAAAGGACCTAGTCCAACCTGCTGCTCATGTGCTAGGTATGATTGCTATTCCTTTGTGTTCTGCTAAAATGATCTTTTACCATTATTTCTATACAAACTTGCAAACTGTGTGATTCTTCAACTTGGGCATGAAGATACTCATTTTCTTTATAATAATCTTGTCTATAATACCAAATTACAACTTCTCCAAAACAAAATGCACCATTTGCAGTAGACAAGAGCCATAACATGTCTGCAAAAGCATTGCATTTTCTTTGGCAATTTTTAAAAAAATTAACAGTCATTTCACTGTGATCTGAAAAGATTTATAACTGTTAATATACCAACATTGATTATTTGCATCTTAATAGCAAAAGTTAAAAAGAGATTTGACATGTTACTCGTATTTGTAAATAAAATTTAACTGGTCTGTCTGCAAAGGAAATAACTATATAAGCATGGCCATGACATTGCACTATTGAAATTAGTTTGGGTTTTTTGCACTTTTTCTTTTCAATCTCCAGAAAAAAACATGTTGTTACAGCCTTATATCATGCATCAGTGTTAGAGTGAGTATATCACGACTTGGAGGGCTTCACTGGTAGGAAATTTGAGAGTCCCAACCTTCCACACTATATAGATTTAGCCATTCAATATTCTGCAATATTCTAAGGGATGACTACAGAAATCCGGATATTGGGATTTTGATTACTTGGCCGTTGGAGCTTAATAGTATTTGAAATAAATATATTTGTGTTTCATATGTTAGGTTTAGCCATTATGGGACTCACAGTATTGTGCAAACTTGACCATACATTATTTCTATTGTATAAAAATTTCCACTGTTGACTAACACCTTAAGTTTTTGTTCTTATAACTAAATGGGGGAAGGGATGTGCAAATTATGTGGCCTTTAAAAAAAAACATTAGCACTCTCATATACTAAACAATTCTTGATTGTGTTGCATTTTACTATTTATTTTAGAATAATTACTTTTAGAAGTAATTCTGTTTCAACCCCTCCTTTATTGTCACATGGTAAGTTCTAACATAGGTTGTTACCCATGCTCAGTTTGCCTTGTTCTTTATTGGCAGCAAGACACAAAAATCTTGGTGTCATCTCTCTCACCGCAGGAGGACAGCACACCAAGTAGCAGTTTTCATGGTTTCAAAACTGTTTTGCACAAACGCTAAAATGCTTTCTTAGGAATCAACTATTGTAGTACCAAAGCAGATGTTTTCATCAGGGCCCAGCTTTGTGCAATAATTTACTACGCTATTCTTGTTCAGAGTGATCCAGTTTCTATCCAGATCAATAGAACTCAGTGCTAGAACCCAATTCCAATATTTGTATCTTGCATATAAGCCTACTTCAAAAGGTAGCCTAGATTTGACTATAGTTTCACATTTGAGCATCTTCTGGACAGAATAGTACGGTTATGTGCACTTTGCAGCCTGAATACCCCCTCCCTAATGCAAAATTAGATTGGCTGATTATGGTAACATTGGTGAAGGGAAACGGCACCGCCACTACCATCAAATGTCCAAATGAAGCCAGCCCCTGCTGAAAATAAACATTCCGCTGGGTTGTTTTGCTTCTGCATTCCTTCTTGAATGGATTTCACATAGGCAAAACGGGATTTGGGTCCACACCCCTGTGGTGCGAATCGGAAGCTTCAGCCCCTATGACTCCTCCTTTTGCATCGGAAAAGCAACTTTGCTCGGGCCTCTGTGCGGTGAGGAGCCTCCATCATAACACCGGAGCCACGAGGGCGTGTGGATGAGGCTATAAAACTCGCAAGCATTTCGGACGACGTCTACAAGAAGAGGCAAAGGTCCGAGCCCGGCGAGGGACGCCGCTAGCTTGCCTATCCCCTCACGACTCGAAGTCCGTTGGTCGTATTCACGACCGATTGCCCGCCCTTGGCGCAAGGGCGTTATCTTGGGTGCGGCATTAAATCGCAGACCCGAGGCAGGAGGGAGGACGAAGGGTGGGTCGGCTGACCAAGTCAGTGCTGACGCGAGCGCACACCGATTCCTTGCAGTGACGTCGCCTCTCCTCGCTTTCTCTCGCTCCGCTTCCACCTAGAGGCCGAGGGTTGGCTGTTCCGCGCTCAGCCCCGCTGCGGGATTCTGCTCGGGCGGATCAGCTCTCGGACTGAGCGGAGCCGAAGGCGAAGCCACAAGCCCCACAGAAGCTCTTGACATGACGGCGTCCATGAGGGAGAGATTCGACAAGTTCCTGCGCGAAAAGAACTGCCTGACCGATGTGTTGGCCAAAATTGAGAGCAAGACCGGCGTCAGCAGGTCCTACGTCGCCATCGGTGAGTGCTCAGCTTCAACTCGCCCCCGCCTTGCAGGGGGGGAGAATTTTGCCCGGCGAGGCTTCGATGTTCTCTAACGGGGTGAGTGGGTGAAAGGAATGGAGGCTTCTTTGGAAGACGAAGCAGAAGTCGAGCCTTGCCTGGGAATGGACGTTTGTTTGGCTTGCTAGCATCTAGGGCCTTAGCTCGGCTCTGAAGCCTTTCTTCCTTCTCCAGGCCACAGCCCAGTGCCTGTAGGGGTCTGTGAGATGCTGCAATAATTCACGAGATCTTTCCAGTTAGGGAGATGGCCAGCCTCGTCTTGGTAGGCAGCCTTCCCTCCCCTCTTGTTTTGTTCTTCCACTGCACCCTTAGGGGACAGTGAGAACATGACTCCTCCACCTCACCACATCAAGATGGTTGCAACCACAATCGAGACCAAAATGTATGTTGCAAAGTGAGAAATTGGTTCAGTGTGTTTTGCCCCATTTTATGCTTTTTCTTGCCACATCTGTTAAGTGAATCACTGCAATTGTTAACGGTTTCCCCATTGACTTTGCTTGTCAGAAGGTTTCCGAAGTTGATCATGGAACACTGGAACCATCATAAATGTGAATTGGTTGCCAAGCTTCCGAATGTAAATCACGTGACCCTGGGGATGCTGCAATGGTCATAAGTGTGAAAAATGATCATAAGTCACTTTTTTCCAATGCCATTGTAACTTTGAACGGTCACTAAGCAAACTGTGGGACTATCTGTACTTGTAGCTTCTGCACCTTCTTGGCACTCATCTCTTCCTTGCATATTTATAATCTTGCAGAGCATCTTGTGAGGATATTTGGGAGAAATGCTGGCCGAAGCCCCTGGGATATTGAATGATGAAACAGTAACCTGGCTGGAAGGGCTCAGGTTATAGCAGACAACATTTTTTTTCCTTATAGCTATTCAGGGCAACTCCTAAGCCTTATGGGGAAAAAAGAGGTTGGAAATGTAAATAGTATGTCTTGTATTTGAAACCTGTAGTTAAATGGCAAGCTGACTTCATCCTGAACGTAACTTTGATAAGAGTGAGTTTTGGTAAGAATGAGTGAGCTGAAAGTTTGGCCCTATGGAAATACTTTCCCATTTCCTCTTTGTTTCTTCCCTTAAAAAAGCATGTTTCTCTGTGTAACAGGACCACTATTATGTTTCCCACCCATCCTAGTAAGTCTCCATCCTGACTGATGGACTGACTGTCTGCGTTTTCTTTTAGCCATTATCGCTGTGCTGGCTATTTACCTGGTTATTGGCTATGGAGCATCATTGCTGTGCAATCTGATTGGATTTGCTTATCCTGCATATATCTCGTAAGTATTCTGGCAGCTAACCCTTCTCTTACTGTATGCTGGGAGTTGGTTATAGGTGAAAGATAATATTTCTTGTTCATTTGGTTGCCAATAGTTTGCAAACCATTACACTGTGGGGACTGGGCTTTTATTCCCAGATAGTGACTGCATTTGCCAGATTACTTGTGAAATTGACTTCTGGCACTGTAGAGATTGGGAATGGGAAGATTGGATGCAGATGCCAATTGTGGGCTTGATTGTAGTCCTTTGCATGTTGCTGCAAAGATAGAACCAGCCGTAGACTAAAGATGAGAGGAAGAACCAAGGTATTGTGATAGCGTCTCTATCTTTGTATTCCATCTCTTCCTATGGAATCTACATGTATTCAGAAGGAACATGACTGAAGGTTGCTGCTGAATGTTTTCAGCAACTGATTTGAATTACAGTTAGAGCTACAATCCGTCATGCTATAATTTTTCTGGGAGGATTGGAAAATGTACACTGTTTTCAGTGAGGTTGCTTACCATGTGATTTTATGGTGCCCTAGTTAGTGGAGAAAAACAATTTCAGATTGTGTTTCTCTTAAGTATAAGGACTCCTATAGTAAAGGAAACCTCAGGGTGGTTTCATGTGGGGAAGTTTATTATTTACTGTTTACAGTATGGTATAAAACCTTTGTGTTTGAAACTGTTGTTGCAGATCAGACATTAGAGGCAGAGTTTTTCAACTGTTTTGTGCTGTTTCTAAGATGGTTGAAAATATTCAGCTTTATATATTGTCCAGCATGCATTTGCATATAGGAATCCCACCCAATGGCTAAAACTGATATTTCATTGCCATTTCTAGTTTTGGGTCATTTATTTAGATCCATTGTATTTTTCTTAAGATTCTAAACCAGTGCAGCACTTCAGTAACAATTAGAAATAGTGAGATATTTGAATGATATGTAATATGTACTGCCAGTTTTAAAAATGATTACCTTCTAAGTAGGAGAGTTCAGGGTTTTCTGTACTGTAGTTGTTGCCATCTATTGATGATCCAGGTTTTCAGCCCAGAAGAGCCATTACATAGGAGATTTGTAACTGGCACTGTATATAAAAATATCTAACACTGGAATCAGGACTAGGAAGGTATTGGGGCAAGGGATAAAACATTAACCATACATTATTTATTTGATGATACTCACTCTGAAGCTGCATTTTGTGATGGTAAAAGAAAAGCCAGATAGAGTATGAGTTCATGTATATGTTCTTCTGCTATAAGGATAATAGATGCTATATTTAAATTGATTAAAAAGCACAAATAAAGGATTAAATTCTTCTACACCCCCCCATCCCAGTACTGCAGTCAATTTAAATGTCCACTCCTGCTGCTGTCAGTAAAAATATCTGGAAATCCCCTCTTAAGTCTCCCAGATCACCTTTGAAAGTCACCCTTCAATGGAGAAATGATCTTAATGGAATATTTCATATGACTCTTGCCATGTGTTTGAAGGCCACAGCTATATAGTATTATGTCATCTCTGCACTGTGTTTTGCTAACCTCCATTGTGATTATAATAATGGTTCACAGAAGACTGAATGTGTACATTTCTCCCTAGCTCCTTTAAAAACAAAACTGCAAAGAATGAAAGCCCAGAACTGACAGAAAAACATTGATTATTCCTGCAACACATACTGTTTTCTGGGAGAACAACAGCTGCTTTAGTGTTAAAACAACATTGGCTGGACTAGATAAGTGGAGATCATGAGTACAGATATGGCTTAACTAATTTTGCTCCATGATTTCAGTTTCACCTAACCACCATATCGCTTACTTTGTCACGTGGATCAGATCTGTCTCTTTATTGAATTCAAGCTTTCTCATGCACGTGTTTACCATTTAATGACCTGTATGTATGATTTATTCATTATATAATGATTAGCTAATCCACACTTCTAATGCAAATATTTCTCAATGTTGCCAGTTTACACCTATGGTAATCAATTTTCTCTCCTTTCTTCCTCCCAGTTTCCAGCTTCTTTGTTTGGTAGACCTGTTTTGAAATACTTGGATAAAACACTGGTTTGAATGTATTCATGAACTCACAGCAACATTTCAAAGCAGCTTCAAAACAGTTTCAAAAATTTGTACTTACCGTAGTGCCTCCCCCAGTGAGATATATTACATTCCTTTTTTAATAACTTCTGTATTTTGTGGTTAGATGCAAATTTCCGGTAAAAGGTGGTAAAACCATTAACATTTAACTCTTTGATACAGGAAAGTAGCAGAAATGAGTCAGTAACAATTGCATATAAGTAGAAGGAGTCAATCTCCAATAGAATGCATTTGGTTCTTTATGGCCTATTAAATGTTGATTCTCCCAGCAAAGATATAATGCAGCTTGGGAAGACAAGTCTCTATTGAAATTGCTTTTCCAGATGAAGAAACCTGGAACAGTAATCTCAAGTATCATAGCAGTGAGGACAAATGGTGAAGAAGTGCCGCATGCATGACATACAAAGAATGTTTGGGTAGAATGGAAAAAAAAAACCATTGGGTTTTTCATATGCAAAATGTTATACATATTAACATAGGCAAAATATGATACAGCATGTGGACTGTTCATACAGTTTTAATCTGACTATGAATGCAACTTGAATGCAAACTTCTCTGGATCAGTTTTTGCTGTTGCTACACTATACTTGATCTTAGCCAAAAGGCAGAGAAACTGTTGCTATTTTTTTACATGGATCAACAGAGTTTTCCTCCAAAGTCCCAACATATAATTCAGATTCCTTATGTAATTATATAGACATGAAGGCTGTTTGGAGAGTAGCTGTGTAATCCTGAGGAAAGATGCTATTTAAAAATATTACAGACAGGTGTTAACATTAGCATTTCAATTTGCTCTGAAGCAACTGTGAGAAATTAAATCTGAAACATGGCACAGCTCTAATAGAATATTTTGTAGGCATCATAAATATGTTAAAAGGAGGATGATAACATACTTTAGATCTAGGCAGCATTTATCTGGATTTTTTTGGCCCAGCATCTCAAAAGTTAAGGTAGGCATTATCATCATTAAATTAGGCAAGGGGAAGAGATTGAGTAAACAACAGTGTTGCTGTCTCAGATTTAATTACTAACATCTCTAATTGGACTGGAAAAGACTTAGTCTGAAATACTGAATTGCCTTACATTCAAGGCTGACCATATTGGGCAAATTCTTGAAGACAAAAACTGCTCCTGTTCTCAATAGAAAATTTAAAGTAAAACATTTTCAAAAAGATTAGCTCTAGGAGTTCTTCACGCTATTTTTCTCCCTCAGCCATTATGTTCTACTCTTGTGATTTCATGCATAGAACTTGTTTTATTCATTTTTTGAAAGAAGAAAGTTCTTGAAAGTACTTGAAATGTGGATGATATCTTCCTGTAAAGAAACAATTATATTTCTGACTGAATTTTTCAAAACATAAAGGGAAAAGAAGAAGAGAAAAGCCAAAAAGCTCCAATTTACATCTTCTCCCATCACTGTTGACCACAGTATATCATGCATTGATAGTAGCAACTTCCTGTTTATTTGTGTGAGATTACTGTTGTCTTGTATCCAACCCATGAGAAAGCACAGTTAAACTGTTATTCCAATACTAACATGAAACATGCATTTCCCATATTATTCCTATATTAACCAAGGATGGCCTCAAGGTGTATAAAATCTACCGTATTACACTTTACCACTCATTGTCTTGCAGGGAAACTCAGGTGACTGTTAAAGTTTGTCAGAACTGTTGAAAGGTGCAGGCTGTGTCCCCCCCACACACACATTTTGAGGAGTTGAGAGCAGAACTGAGTATTTCATTTGGAAAAGCAGAGAGGGTTACCACTTCCTCTGTATTTGTCAGTTTCAGACACTTCCCCTTCTGATGAAGTAAAAGAGTGGCTGTCCATAGTTTGTTTGCTCATTTTACAGCACCTAGGTAGTTGTACAATTAGATAAAGTCTTCTTCATTTGGGGGCTGGTTTCTTCCTGGTATGCTCCCATATATTTCTTTATTTTGCATTATTTTTAAACTTGAAAGATGCTCAATAGGGGAGCCAGAGTAGGGACAATCAATCCACAACATGGGCAAACTTCTAAAGGCAGACTTATCCCATTATGCCTGCCATACCTTAATTGGTGGAAGTCATCTGCATTGGTTACTGACTTCTGAAAGAATACAGTAATAAAGTCAAAGAAAAATAATAACAGTTCTTGGTTAACTATATTAATTGGGACCGGAAACTCTGTCAATGTGGTCATAAAGCGTGACATCATGTGACCACATGAACTTACAATAGCAACTCCAACTGTTTCAGTTGCAGTTGTTAGGCATGACATCATGTGATTGTCATTTGTAACCTCCTGCTGGCTTCTCCACTGATTTTGCTTGTTAGAAGCCAACAGTAAAGGTCACCAGTGGCTATCCCATGACCATTGGACACTGTGATCATTGTAATTGGGAGCTGATTACCAAGCACCCAAATTACGATTACTTTACTGTAGGGACACTGCAACAGCCATCACTTTGAGGACCATCTGTAACTCTCCTCATTCAGCACCATCATAAGGTTAAATAGTTTTTGAATAAGTGATCTAACTAAAGACTACCTGTATCAATTACCTTGCCTACCATGGGTCACTCACACAATAAGAAAATATCTATTCAGTGAGTTAAAACAGATGCAAAGGAGATAGGAGAGTAGAAACTGACAAACTTACATAAGTGATCGTATTTTAACTTAGATTTTCTTTTTAGAGAAGCAAAACCTTTTTTATTAACACAACTCTGAGCTTTGTTGCTTTCTTTCCAGGTTCTCTGATAAAAAAGATATTGTGTGCATATGTATAATGTCTCTCAGTGTTAGCTTTTCTCTCCACTTGTATCTTCCCTTTTTCAAGCTAAATATTCCTCCATTATCTTCCTCTCTAACAAAAAACAGCCATGCTCTGATCCATACTCTTCTGTGTATAGTCCCCTATCTTCCCACTTCTACTATCA